CAACCATTTCTCCACCACTTTTATTAACATCATTCTCCTTATATTCTGACACTTGACTTCTAAATATCTGGTTTAGAATTGTTACAACTGAACTTGATTAAAGTCACGTATTTTTACTATATGTCCATGATATTTTTTCAACAATAAGAATTATTTCTTCCAAGCATATCTGACAATGAATTAATGATTTGTTCAGTAGTTAAAGAGGAGTGAGCAACCAAACATATTGTAAGTGACGATCTATATTTAATGTCAATGTAAATATACATACATACATTTTAGTATATATCGATTTAAAAAATCTATACATTCTTCATAATAAAATAATTGATATAACAAAACAAACATTTTAAAAGGTAAATCTGTATCAAATGTACTTCAATTAGTGCACAAAGATCCACTCGTCCGTGATTTCGATTAAGTCTTAATGAAAAACTCCCTTGTGTACCAACCACTGGAGCGCGAATCGTTTCAAAGCCGTTTTTAACTCTGTTGGCTGCACTGTTTGTTTTCTGAAAAACGTTTTAATTGAATACCATAACAAAACGTTAATAGAATTTTTTTACTTCAATAGATTTATTGATACTCTGAAAAGGTTTCTGAATTTTGGTTAACAGATTAACCTTAGAACTTATAAGGTAATTACAATTAGGCGAACTCCAATAGAAAATATATTTCAGAAAAATAGAAAAAAATATATATACAGAATATTTTATGAAGTTATATTGGTTGCAAATAAAAATATCGTACATTTCAATTTAATTGGTTTACTGCAATGTTTTACTTGACGTTAAAAATATTTTTGTCGAATATATCTTCGTATTTTATTTTCATGATTTTTTATAACATTACGTTATTTGAACTGGTAATGTTATATTGAAAGGAGGAAAGGAAACAAATATTTTTCATTACGGAAAAACGAGTTAATTTAATGTTACAGAACAGATTATTGATTGAAGCACATAATTCCATACAAGCCTGAGTTTAGGATGAAAGCGGGATCATTGAGGCGAATACACACGGATGACTGAACGCGAACCAATTTTAAACTCACCGTGGTGATATGATACTCAGTTCTGTGTAAACATGCATAATAGGTATTTGTTGCTAAGTTCATGCTTATAAATAGAACGGATTGCAAAAAACCTTTGGAAATATATAAAAAACAATTGAAACAATTGAAATACATTGCACTGTTGAGCTGTTCCGATTGATCGAATTATATTTCTTATACAATTTAATGGAATTGTTTAAATTGAATAATAAGAACATATCTAGCTTAGAATATTCTCACAGAATAGAAATACGCTAAAGAACTTTAAGTTTTTATTTAATTCGGTTGTTGTAGACATGTGATTGACAATAACATAAGTCCTATAATCGACTGGGAAATAATGAACAAGTTTAAATTCTTTTGACATCCTCTTTATTTGGTTCCATCTCAACATTGCTCTATTTCAGAAGTTATCTTTATATATAATATACGAAAATTATCTTGTTTATCACCTGCAAACTCTCTACAATCTTTTTTCTTCTATGACAATGTTTCTTTGATATCTGTTCCGGCGTCCTACATGTGCGGAAATATTCCCCGAGCCGGAGACGGCGTGGCGTTGACTGGCCTACTTCATGAATCTGTTGCTGACAATTGAAAACAATATTTATTTATATAATATCTCATACCATATATAACTTTTGTCATTCTTAGTTATATCAGAATATATACGTTACTACGAGTACGTCCTATTAAATCGTCAGTCAATCAAAACATAATAATAATTCGAAAGGAAAAACAAGGTTTTATATTACGCATATTCTGACTTTGGTAATGAACGTAGGAAATAATTCATCAAGTTTAAAATATTTTTTTTATAAAAAAATATCACTTCCATTCAATAAAATTGTACAAATTATTTTTATTATCTTTACGAATGATGAAATAGTTACTTAATATAAAAATTACCTCAACTTAACACACATTAAAAAATAATAAATGTTTATTACAAAAATAACAGTGTGAATAAAGCAGAATATAAAATATATGTATTTATAAAATACAATTTTTTTACACTGAAAGGTACTTTATTAGTACATTCATGAATATCTTGCTAATTTTAGAGGTGTCAAAGTTCATGAGAATGTATGAGTTTCAGGATGTATGTTGTTGTTTAAAACCAAAATTAGTTGACGGATTTTAATAAAATTTTGATATAATATAGCTTGGAACTCCAAATAGAATATAGGCTATAATTCATCTTGGAAATCTATCTTGTTTCGTAGACTATAGATAGCTACCGATCGATAAGTATATTTACATATATGTATATAGTTTTAATTAACTTTATATATGACTCATTGAGTCTAACTCCAAAGTTCAAGCAGATGTAGTCACTAGCAAAAACTAGTTCTTGGATATATTTTTTTTCTATTGTTTAAATAAGAACCGAGAAACAATTTACTGCGAACGATATAGCAGAGCCAGTCTTCGCGTTTGTGGGAGCACTTCAATTAGGGTTAGCCAATGCTGAAGCAATTGAATTATCTAGACCAGATTACGTAGATAGGTAAATTGCATGGCTGTTGAGACCATTGAGGTCAATTTACGATGGGATGAAGAAATTAGATGTTCAATTTAATCTGCCGTTACAAAACTATAATAGAATCTTATACAAATTTATACGGGAACAGACTTAAAGGTGAAAAAGAAAAAGAATGAGCAGAATTTTTATCTATAAGCAGATTTGTAGAAAAATATTTTTTTAATTATATAATTATTTTTATTTATACGCATATAAACTTTAGAGTATAAGACATGAGTCCCTCAATACATTACTTTTTACCTGGATTCGTATGTTTATCTTTATGATTAAATATATTTTAGAACATTATACTCCACAAAATATGTCAATAATTTTCATTTTGAGGTATATATATATCGGTCATCCTTATTTAAAAAGTTTTATATAATAACTTTATAGTTATTGAATGGTTGGAGAAGTAAAAGAAAATAATACCTAATTTAACTTTAAAACTTGTTATTGACAGCAAATAGAGATTTAAACACCATTTTAAACTGTATTAGAAGGTAATCTCGGACGTTAAATGTCTATCAAAGGGGAGTACTCAACACTTAAGTGCTAAGGCTCTTCACTGAAGAATAGTGTAAGGAAGTCGGAAATAAGGCTGGAGACTGACAAGAAAATGCTCTTAGAGCTTTTCACATCCAAATGGAAAGTCAATAAACGGCAATGATGAACTTTGAATGACCTGATACACGTGGAAATATATTTTAAAAGGTGTTTTAATTAAAATATTGATAAATTTATTATGATAATTTTCATTATCAAGGCAAAATCATACACGTGAAATTCGTTAAGCTAAAATCGCTTCTTATTCTCTATTTCCATATCATCATCATCATCATCAGCCTATCAGAAGCCCACTGCTGAGCAAGGCCTCTTTCTCACATGGAGAAGGTTTGAGCATTAATCACCACGCTTGCTCAAGACGGGTTGGTGATTTCAAACTTATAATTGTGAAACTATAAGTCCAGGTTTCCTCACGAAGTTTTCCTTCACCGTATGTCAGTGGTGTCTAAATACTCTCAGAAAGTACATATGACTCCGAAAAATCACATTGGTACTTGCCAGGTTTGAACCCGCGCCCTCAGCAACGAGAGGCGAGCCCCTTAACCACTAGGCCACCACTATTTCCATATACGTAATGATAATAATTGATATTTGAATTTTAGAATACTTTTTGTGTAGTTTAATTTTTATACTAAGGAGATAATCGCTTCCAATGGGACTTAAAGGAATAAAATAATAAAAGATAATACTAAATGAACACGATTTATCCTCGTATAATGTATAAGCTTTAACTGTCATAAAACAGTTTTCGTATTGATCTAAATTTAAACAAACAATAGGAAACTTCACATTTATTATGTGATGGCATATAATTTACAGCACTTAAACATGCAAACAATACAGGGTTGAAACCCTCGTACTCATATTGTCACGAGCTTAGATCATGACGTTGAGTGACACCTATGCAGAATGGGTCCGTTTTTGAAGAAGGTATTTGAAATACAAAGGACAACGAAGTTACCAATATAATATGACAAGTTATAGTTAAATGATTTGATGTACAATGTACATATGAATGTATTGTGGCTTTGACTCAACTTATTTATATAATTTTTGCTTACAGTCTGCAATATAAACGTTTACGAAAGCATTTTTTTTTAATCTGAAAGAGATTACGTGAATTCAGATATAAATAAAGGATTATTATTAATATTAATTATATTCAATAATTATAACAAATTACGTTTTTTAGATAGTAGGAAAGAGTTTTTTTTTCCTAATAGAATAACGCCTTGTTATAATAGTATAATTATAATCATAGCTCGTATTTGTAAATAATAACTTTTCCATTGAAGAAACCATTGAAGTGATTAAGTTCATTGATCAAAAACTATTCAAATTATATGACAAAGAAAAAGTTTAACGATAACAACATACAAATATAATTATGAATTTATTTTATCATCACATTGTATTATGAATTCGACTAAAAACAAATAATATACGGTACTAATTACCAATTAGTATCGCACATTTAAATTACCAATTAATACAAAATATATGCATGAATAATGTTTATTTATTTTATAAAATAATTCTCGAAATCGTATTCAAACAAAAGTGTTATGTATTATTTAAATTAAACTAATATTTTTCGGATATATGTACTAAGCGTGCTTTATTTTTGTAAAAAAAGTAGTATTATCCGAAAAATATTAGTTTCATTTAAATGAATAAAACTATAGAAATTCTTAGATCTCATTATGCTATGTATCAACTAATTGAAGTGGAATTAGTTTACTTATAAATATACATATATCTTCTTCTACCTGGCAATTTCCCAGCTTTAGCCAGGGTCTGCCAGGTCTGCCATCTACTTATAAATATATATATATTTATATTTATTTCCAGATCTACAATTTCCTATCGACGTGTCAGGAGTTCAGAACGACCATCCATTCTTGGATGCAGACTCGCTCCAATCATTGTTCAGACGACTCACAGCCCTCAACAGATGCGCCACCATGAAGCTAGAGCATCATCATCATCAGAAGAGATCGGTTAGTAGTAGTATGATCTACATAGATTCCTAAGACACAACTATCATCCCTTGGTTTTGAAAGAAATTCCAATATCGTTTAGGATACCGTCAGAAATATGTTATGTTTAATGTTTTAACCCTCTAAATATATAGTTTTAATTATATTTATACTTCTGTTGATCGTTTTATAGTGAAAATATTGCGAAAATCTAGCATTTTAATTCATTGAAAAGACTTAAATATGAATAGAATTCTGTATACTATTTAGATACCCATACGACTTTGAATATAACTTTTAGCTCTCTAGAAACACCATTCGTATAATTTTAAAACAAAATTTCACCGTGGAAATGTTCTTATGTAATTCCAACTCATATAAACTAAGGAAAGTTGTTAAAGAACTACACTCTGTGGTGTTGTAAGCTCAAACAATCTCAACAGATATCGCTGGCTGTAATTGAACTGTTTTGATTGAAAAACTTTCTAACAATTGTTAGAAATTGATTTCCTCGTCTGTTCAATATTTACAGAAATCTCAATTATCTTTCAATCTCATCGAATGGAGATTCTTGTATGAGTTTTGTTCAAATTCTATTTTAAAAGTATTAATCTATTTTTTTATATAAGAATTGTTCCGACGAAGATTATACGACATAAAGTCCAAGTGAAACTGACGTTTCGAGATGAAAACGACATAACTTTCGGTTTCGATTCTAACATTTGCATAATGTTCATTTACTTACACTTAAACGAACTTTTTATGACCGCGACCACGCTTCGAATGGTTTGTCAATGTTAACTTTCATCTTGTTTTTATGTTTATTATTCTTTAGTTATAATATGCGATGTCATAAAAACCATGTTTTACCGCTTCCTAACGAGAAAGGGATTTTTGATTTTAACTTTATGTTACTTTATTTTGTATAAAACACGTTTCTATAGGTTTGATGAGGTAATTTTTTAATCGTATGTCATATTTATTGTTACAAAGATGCGTGTTTATTATCATTTGATGCGGCATTTGTCAAATACATGCAAGATAGGTTATAAATTTTATGTAAATTACTAATCTTTATAAATCTCTTTTATATTTATTATTTCTTTCATAATATCAAAGTTTTGTTTGTTGTATGAAATATTTCTTGATCAGATTGAAAATATTTGTAAAAAAATCATAGATATAGATATTATTTTATTGAAATCACGTACATACACTCCTAGGAAAATATTCTCTGCTACCTGGCAATTTTCCAGCTTTAGCCAGGGTCTGCCTTATATGTTGTGAATAGTTTTGGCTAATTGTTTTTACGACCGGCCGCCTGCCTGACATCAACCCTCTTTGGGAACGCATTAATCAGTGATGCCTTAAACTGTTAGAAAGTACATATGACTCGGAAAAATCAATTTGGTACTTGTCAGGATCGAACCCGCGGCCCCATACATTAGAAGCGGCATTTTAACCACTAGGCCACCACTGACTTCTCTGAAAAATATTCTCTATTCTTCCCTTATTGTATCACAAATCATTTAGTTCGGTTTAAATAATATTCTTAAATCCTAGACAATTATGTAATTGAATCTATTATTATGCCAATGTTTCTTGATTGTATTATTTTCCATGATTGTGTTCTATCAATTACATTACATTGTGTATCCGCCCTTAAAATTGTCGATTTCCGTTTATAGGAAGGAAATTTAAGGCATGTTTTCTAAAGACGATCGATGCATGACAACAGATTTAAAATTTTCTTCTAAATACATGTTTAAATTATTCAATATATTTAGGATAAAAAAGTGATTGGTTGCAAGAAACTCTTAAGAATATATTGTAATTATTATTGTAGTTATGAAAACTAATGGCAATTAAACAAGGTCAATTTAAATGAAGCATGAGTTTAGAAGATTTATTTTTCTTACATTAAATTAATTATATGTAACTAGTTTTTGCCCGCGACTTCGTCCGCGTTAGTTTGGTCAAGAGTATGTAGGTATAGCTGACCAAGCGAACTCTATTCCGTCGTAGAGGCCATAAATAATCAGGTTTTTCGTGTTTCAATCAAACAGAATGATTGACATATTAGTTAGTTGTCAAATCTAATGTCAAAGAAAACGTTTGTATGGGAATTAGAAAATGCTTTTTAGGATTTTCCCAGTAATGAATCAATTTTTTTCACCTTTTATACCTTCCCTGAACCTCCACGAACATTTCAAGACTAAGATAAGATAAATCCGCTCAGCCGTTCTCGAGTTTTAGCGAGACTAAGGAACAGCAATCCATTTTTATATATATAGAAGATTATTTACACTTAAAATATATATCAGTTCTCAAGTATTAGAAAATATGTATAAAATAATACCACATATATGCAATAAATACTATATTTTATTTTATCTACATCATATTTCTTTGTCGGCGACTATTATATACGTATTTAAATTTCAATATGAGGTCGATTTACTTAAAGTAAAATATTTTTATCTAAACTCCAATGCCGCGTACGCCGTAGGATCAATAATTCGTTTATATTATTACGCGCGAAATTTTTCGACAATTTGTAACACCTTAAAAGGCAGATAATATTTATAGAGTAAAAAAAATATGCTTATATATATCAACATAATGTTTAAAAAAAACATTTTTTAATACATTTCACGCGTTTTGCTTAAAATGGAATAAACTGAATCGGATCTCAAAAAGCTTTTTCATGACATAACACATTTATATACAAATTTAATATTTTATCGGGATACTTTTAATTTTTTTACATTTTTGAGAGTGATACAAATTGCATGAAGTTTTTTAATTAATATTACTTATAAACGTGCGATGTTTAAACTTGTATATTACAATAAATTTATTTTTATATATACTTATATATACATTTAAATGAAATATGGAACGCAATCTATATATTTTATAAAGTAATAATATTTAATTTATTAAAAAAACTTCATACAATTAAAATCATATTTAATACAGCTACTCGTAAATTAAACTCCTTTATCACTCGTAGTATCTTGTGATTACTTTTTTCTAATATATCGCTGAATATATTAGACATTATCTTATTTGAATTTTATTAAACATATATTACGCGTCAGACACGTAGGTTATCCAGGGTCAGTGTAATAAAACGGTAATGTATATCGCATTCAGTGTTATACGAAATTGAATAGCACGTAAAAGGGTATAACCCTTTTAGTTTTATCGCTCGCTTTGTTCTCTAAGCTCTAGACTTCAATGATCATAGTTTTTATAGTATAGTACATAATATACGTTAGTGTTATAAAAAAATCTAAAGTCAACATAGAGAACATACTAATTAAGACATTAAGTGCTATAGGAAATGACATTGTTTTTTATTACTGCAATAATTTTATATAAAATCTTATAACTATTGTAAATGAACAAGTTTATATGTGTTAGTCACTGTTTTACACATGAGTAAATTCGACATAAGGCAATTAAAAAATTAATTAAATAAAGAAAATTATTTAAAGGCTAAAACTAATTATACCTTAGTTAATGATAAAGATCTTATATATTAGAGTTATAATCATCATAGCTAAAAGTTTTTTAGAAAGAACAAAATACTTTCATTTTAAGAGCAAATTTAATGAACTTTTATTTGATATTTAGTTCATTTTTGTCGATAAAATTATAAACCCTTAATAAACAGTGTATTTACAACTAACAAAGACAGCCTGCTTGATCTTTTAATCTTATGAAAGGTCAGAATTATTACTATTGCATAAGCAGCGCGTCATTCTTCGTAATAAGCCATTGAACTTGAAAAAAATGAATTCTCAACGAATTTGTTTGAAGTTTGCGTTGTGACGTCACTTGAAAATTACTTTGTTTTATTTTTTAAATATTCTATAAATCATTACGTCATGAATACTAGTTCTCACTGCCTGTTCAGGTTAGTAATTGTTCACCTTAGGTTACTTTGTTGCTGATATAAAAAGTGGTATGTTAAGTTCTGAGTAAACATTAAATATAAATACGGCTCACTTAGTCGAGATGACCATTATCAAACTGCATAAATAAACCAACTGACAACTCATACATTTAATATTAAATCAATATTTAATTACATTAAAATAAAACCAGAACAAAATCATGGTTGCATAAAAGCTGAATGTTTTTTTTGTATGTCCATGTCTGTACGTTCCATTATATATAAAGCCATAACCAAAACTGTTTCTCATACTTGTATGAAGTAATTTTAGTAGACGAATTCTCCATTCATTGATATAGTCACGTCATTCTAACAAATTGCACCTCAAGATCTTTTAAATCCAATACGTTTAATCCGTACGTCACTATTTATTGTTGGGCTAACAAGGTTTTGACAGACCGAGATTGTAGTGACGAGTATCGCCACTGACTAAAGAAAAAGAAGAATTAACGAGTATTTTATTGAAATATTAAAAACAGATACAGACTTTTTGTGACTAATTTATATAAAAGTAGAACCTTTTCTATCTAAAATTAAACATTGTAAATTAAAAACTCATAAATCATTAAATAATAAGAGTTTTGACATCGCATAAATTTGTCCAATTAATTCAATTAGTCTTTCTTTTCTTATCTGATATCTCAGAAGAAAAAGAACACAAAGAAATGTTGCACTAACTACTCAGAATTAATTATGACACTAATTTCAAGAAATGCATTTAATTTCTCTGAGATTTAATTACAGGTCCGGCAACTTTTGTTATAAATAAATGCAATTATTTTCATTTCGCACTGAAATAACTTTTCTATTTGTAATTTTTACATATTTACTTTAGAAGATGCAAAAAGAAATGTTCAAAATAAATAATTATTTTGACATAACAAAGACGTAAAAATACACAACAAAGATTTAGTCACTCATAGTATTTGAATTCTTACACAAAGTATTATGTAATTTATTTATTTATGTCATACAAAAAATACAAGTTTAGACAATAAAATTTTAAATATACCTCCAATTATAGGAGAACACAACATGCTCTAATACAGTATTGAACTCTTAAACAAAACTCAAGAAATAAATAAAAAGAAAACAAACTAAAACTAATAATTACAAAACAATGAAATAAAATAATTTAACGAAAACTATTTAACAAATCTAAACTAAACAAAATAAAATTATTTTATGAAGAGAAAAATAAATTAAATTTCTTTTCCATATAAATCATATTTATTCTACTTAACAATACAAAAATAATATATTTTATCTGTGGAAATGAAAAAAACATTTATGTCAAATCAATGGCGGCTGTCATTCATAAAACATGTCACCAATAAAATCCAATTACGCTTAATCGAAAGTCATAATCAATTTATGTATCGATCGTGTTAATCCTATATCGAGACAAAGGTATAATCGGATTGTGTTAACAAGGTGATTCAGAAGCAAAACGCCATGTACTCGTACTGTCAGAAATGAATGATTTATGTCTGTTCATTTGATTTAGATTCACTATTAAATGAATGAATAGATTGTAATTCTACTTATAAAAATATAAGTACATTTAAATGTATTTAAATTTTGAATTTGGAATCTTATATTCGCTTCTGTTATTGTTTATATAAAGTTATTTTGTTTATATTCTTGATTTAATTCTATTATTCTTTTCAGACGTCAGTCTAGACTAGATTGTAGTTCATTTAATATGGTGCATTCAGTTTTATTAGTTTATCGACCTTATATCCGCTGCCAAACACTTAAAATGGGTGACGTTAAAAATTTATAACTCGTCTACTTTGAAGAGCCGAATTTACGTTGCAATATAGAAAAGTTATTCTCGTTGTTACTATAATTTAAGCATTAAATTTATTTGACTCAGTGAAAATTTTACGAAAGTTATTTAGGTATAACGTATAGCTATTTTACGGTGGAAGGTTTGGAATTCTAAAAGAATTTTCCAACTACGAGGCGGTCAAAGCCAAACGAACGCTTGAAATACGTTTCGAATATTGTGAAAAATATTAAAATGCCTTTAAAATTTTATGTCATCTATAGTTGTATTCTTTTTATTAGCAATACGAGAAATAGCTTCAAATTTATTTAAATTTTAAAACGAAAAGCTTAGTATTAATCCATAGCTTTTAATCTGACATTTATTTACTTAATATTTATTGTTTTAGAACGACTCTGACGATGAACAATGCGCGTTAAGCGATAAATGGCAATACGAGAGAAAATCTCGAAGATGGTCCAGGGTCGTGGAAATTACGCCGCAAGCACAAAGGAGATTACAGGTTAGAATTATTACCAGTACTTCGTTTATTTTTTAATACGACACAGTTCTAGTTTTCATATACCTTATACAGGGTGACTGGTGAATTACTATCAATATTTAAGGAGAATACTCGGTACATGATTCTCATTCGAATTATGTTAAAAAAATGGTACTTAATTTTTGACCAAATTTCCGTATATATAAATAAAGTGTGGACACGTTCCAAGTGTCCCAAGTGTGGACGCGTGCGGCGGCGTGCTGATACAACACCACGCCGCCGCACGCGTGTGTGTGTGTGTATACCTAATCTGTAGGGTGTTCACACGATGCGTAATTAATCACATAACTTTTGGTTAACTTTACTTAGAAGTTTATTAATATTTATGTTGTATTAATTTTTATTTTGTCATATATGATCGTCAAATATCACGTCCTCAAGTATCGATAGTAATTCACCAGTCACCCTGTATATGTCCTGTGACTTTGTTAAGTTTAACGTTATATTTTAGGTGATAGCAGCTAGAGCGCTAGCAGAACGTGAGGCAAGAGAGGCGAGAGGTGAAGTAGAAGATGATGAGGATGAAACTCTTCCAACCATCAGGGTCGGTCTGGTTGACGCAGATGGACATTACACAGACGTAGAACCAGATCTGTAAGTTGACGAGCTTCTAATACATATATACTTTATTTAAAATTCAATTCAATTTATAAAACAAATTGCTTTAAGTAATGAAACATAACGATCAAACCTTCAATCACACCATGAAATCGAATCATGCACATTTATCAGAACCTTGATCCATCAAGAAAAAACAAAAAAAATTTATAAGAAACCCTGACAGTACCCGTAATCATTGGTCCCATCATGTTAATGAGGTAACTGTACCCAAAGGTAATTGGCCCTTGGTTGCGCAACTGATTGAAATGTTAGATACAAAGGCGCCTCTTTTTTTAAAAGACCACAATAATTTGACCCTTCACGCACCCGCAAATTATCGTTAAAGGTCCGTCGTGAATTGACATGAATGAATTGTGCCCGTGTACACAATAAAGCGGACTTACTGTTTTAGTTCACGCTTTACAAATAAAACGAAATAGCTTTTAACACTGCATTAAGTTTTCACAAGCACTTATATTTACGATCTATTTGAATAGTTACACTTTCAAATAAAAAACGAAAATTGCATAAAGACTCACACAGATTTAAATAAACTTTCGATAGACCTAAATGCCTCAAAAAAATGGTTAATTCGTTTCCCAATTATTGTGCACTATTAATTGTTTGCTAACCGTACAGCTCACCCGAAATCGGTTGGTCATTGTCAATTATTATCTGAGAACACTTCGTAAGCTGTCAGTTTCTTGCTGTCGCTACCAGCAACGTCTTAGTGTTATAATTGTGAACGTCTGTCAAAATTAATGGACCCCGGTTTGCTAGTTTGAATAGTATAGAGGTCATTCTTCTTGAAAGTAACACTATGTGTCTTTTTTATTGATTTGTAATTGATAGGTTAATTGGTGGTTCATTTAGAATCTATTGTGTAATAGAATTGAACCAATGCGTTGATAAACGCGTTATTTGTTTTTAGTTTCGCCACATTGGCACTTGCTTACATAAAACATTTATTATACGAATTAGAGCTCTTCATTATAGTAAAAAATAAACTGATTGTAGATTAAGATATTATACATAATGTATTTGCCTACAGCCATATTTGTATGTATGTACATATTTACCTAATATAAAGACTTGTTAAGAGAAACGTTAATTTGTAAAGTACAACTGTTGTCGCATCTTCTAAATATACACCAGCGGTAGTCACATGTCGTATCGATTATTCCCCTGTCAGTTGCAGACACAATAGCTATAATTAAGCCTTCTGGCTATTTATTCTACTTACAGTTTAACGTCTAAGCCCTTCACCTATCACGATTCCATTTCGGCTTGCTACATGCGATAATCATAGGTTAGTGTGGCCCTATTGCTGGTAGCAGATTCAAAGTTTTCCAGCTAATGTATTGAAATCTTAACAAAGTAACACTTCTGTTTAAAGTGCTTTTAAAATAAATGCTCATGAAGTAGAAAGCAGAGCCGGTGCTATAATTTACTCCGGTTTATCTAATAGATGTCCATATAACACGGAGTTTAAACATTGTAGCCAATAAATAGTCAATTTGTAATTCGTCTATAAGAACTGACTACAGCTTCTCAATACAATCTTCAAGGTATGAATCTGATTTTGATGAGTGTTAAACGATGAAAATTTGTTTTTCTCTCCTAATTTAACAAAGCTCTCATTTTTTCTTACCTCCTGTCCATTTAAATCCCTATCACATTTACAACTTTGTCCTAAAACAAGAATAATTTTGAAAAGAAATCTATGTTATATACATAAACATAAAATTCTAAGTGTGCCACCGTAAGGTAGATTACTTTAATTCCAACATAAATAAAGGTGATCAAGTTTTATAGACCGGAACGAATGAATGCCAAATTAATAGCTGTGTTAAGTGACATGAAGCGTTATCAGTACCTCTTTATGTATGTGTGGGTAGACGTTGGCGCGTTCAACAATGTTTTGATTAGCATATCATTGTGGAGATAGTTTTTAATTACTTAATCTCGTGTGTCAATTGACAGCGATTATAACGATGATTGGGACATGATTTGAACATTTACAGTATAATTACAGTAACAGGTCATTATCAGTCTTGAATCTTACGTGGTTTTGTGACGTCATTACATTAATGATTTTGCAAACAAATAATTTGAAGTATCCGAGCTATTCTTAATACAATAGAGTAATCAAGTTATGTCACAATCTCAAACTTGACTTAACAACGCTTAACCCTTAAGAAGTTTCGCATAACTTTAAAAGTACGTTAGACTTGAGGCTGTAGACTGTTTTAAGCCCGTAAGCTAAACTCATCTAAGTATTATAATGTCAGTAATTTATGATATTTAATATCTAACCAAGAATTTTCATAGTCGCTAATGATTATAATCGACCTTATTAAAGCAAAGAGAAAATTATAATTACACATTATCAAATGTTGCCCGACTTTAATATACAAATCCATTAAATTATTAAATAACTTAATTATGTTTGAAATGTTATAAATTTATATGCTGTTAATAAAATTTGTTCAATACCAAACAAACCTTTAATCAACGCTAGACATGGTCGTCGGAGGCTATTATTTCTGAAATTAATTTAATCTGTGTAAATCGCCTTTCGTAAATCCATTTAGTTTGGTATGTAAATTGTCATTAATTGCCTCAATTTTGATGTTCACGATATGTCGTTATGTAAAGCGGTTTGGTATGTTAAACACTTTTACCGTAATTTAATAAAACACCATCATTTTTAACTGGATTTGATTTTTATACTGCCATTACTATCACATGGATTTTTTGTTTTAGTCTGACAGTACCGGGACATAATATGCAGTTACCAAGTGATAAAGAAGATGAGGAAGATACTGGGACAAGATTCAGGCGAACTGGTTCAGAAAGATTACGGGACGGAGCGAAGGCATTATTAAGGAGGGTAGAATCGCTGAAAACGAGACGAAGGAAACGGCAGAACAGAACAGAAGTTATTGTTTCATCACCACACTTCCTTGACGTCAATCAGGATAAATATGCTGACCTGAATTACATAGATATGACGCCGACTACTCCAACAGCATTTCCATTCCCAGATTTCCATAGTTCCCCTGTCCATGCACCAGCTATCAGAACACAACCACCTTCTCCCATGACCATAATGCCACCATCTCCAATCGCTCCTCTTGAACAATCCTTTGTATTACACGCTCCTTTTGGTGATGACAGTTCCAGTTATGCTTCCGATAACAGTATGGGATCTAGCAATAAAAGTTCAAAGTCAAAACTGGGAAGGGCCAAACGCATCTTTCATAGAGGACTTAAAAGTGATGATTCAAGTGCTTTGAGCGATTCTGAATGCCAGCCGGCTAGTTGGAGGCATAATTACTATAAAGAGCATAATACTCATCAAAATACTGAGGTAAGTTTGTATCTGTTATTGAGTTATTTTATTATGTAATAATAATATGAACAAACACATTTCTCCGTTGTTATACTTTCGGATAAATTACATAGGTATTATGTTTGTTCATGTTAATTTGTATGTAGTAATTTGCATGTTTATGTGTATTAATATATACTGTAAACATATATGAACATATTTTATATTCACTTCAACACACTTTCATCTTTAATATATTTTTTACCCAAAAACTAAAAAGGTCGAATTTTGTACATCACTACATACTTCTGTGACATTCTTCATTTATTCTACTCTAGGTGGTGTACTCTAAGGAATATACTATTATATAATAACACTTGTGCATCATGATAACTAACTAAAAGCGTCAATAGAGATTATCTACATTAAATATTTCTTAGTCACAAATATGTGTCGAAAACTAACCATGTATTACGAGGAGTGTATCAAAACTAATATGTTTTTTAGGTTTACGTTGAACCTCCATCACCAGTTGAACTGAAGCCAGATCCAGAAGTACTTCGAGAGGTCCAAAAATCACCGGCACATACAGCACACAGACGCCAGGCGATAAGGACGAGTTCATTGAACTTGGGAAAGGACACACCAAAGTAAGTTTTATGTAAAATACTAATTTTTGCCCGCAACTCCGTCCGCGTGGACATCAGAGTTCTTCGCTGTCATTACGGCCACTGAACTGATCTTTATTATTGCACCTGTGTAGTTTAAGGATCGGGATCGGGTCAAAAAGTAGCCCATATCCTTCTCCAAGTTTCCATCTATCTCTATACAGAACATTATCATTCAGAAAAAAAAGTTAGCCAACAGAATCACAGATTGAATTACTTTCGTTTTTATAAAATTCGTAGCGCTAATTAAATTAGTCAATACAAGTACAAGATCAAATAAAGAGTCGTGTCCAGCCAAATAAGCGAAAGTACATACAAATATTATATTATTATTTAAAAACAATGAAACTTTCCTAACATAGTGCGGACATTAATAAATGTAATAAATAGAAGTACAAAACAAGTAGCACGTTTAAAGATTGCTCGGAGCCATTACCGCAGACTAATTGCCTCAGACCATTACTAAAGTACTGTACAATGAGTATAAGTTATTCGTATGCTAATGCTAGCTCTTCTGAATTCTGCCATGAATCATGTCATTGAACTTGTACGTTTTTGTAATCTTACCGCAATATTTAAAGAAAATTGCTTTAGAAGTTTTTAAATATTATTATAAAACTAGCTGTGAACCGCGGTGTTACCCGCGGATTTCCGGGATGTAAAGTAGCCTATGTGTTATTCCTGGACGTCAGCTTCCTGTACACAAAATTTTATCAAAATCGGTTGAACCATTGGAGCGTGAAGAAGTAACAAACATACACATACACTCACAAACTTTCGCAATTATAATATTATTAGGATGGTCGAACAGGAAACTCTTCTTCGATATAAGCAAACGGAGCTACAATTAATTAGAATTTAGTTAATTGAATGAATCTTTAACAGATTTCGTGATAGAAGTCTCAAAAGGGAAAAATCAGCTTCAAGAAGCTCTGAATTGGACAGTAGTCCAAATTCAGCAGGGTCAAGGTCACATGATGGTGACCACGATGATGACGAAGACAGCTTGGATATAAAGACAAAGAAGTAAGACTTAATAATACATTACAATTATACAAATATACACTCTAATACCTTGTGATAAGATTGATATTATTTTAACTTCATTCATGAACAAACTAATCTTCATTACACATTAACTTGAATATCATTCTGGGATCTAAGAAGGAATTTATTTTATTTCCAGAAACAATATACAAAGATGGTACTCATTTAGGACGAATGTACTCAACGGTGGCCCAAAAGCAAATAATACGCTGCAGCCTGCTCCTAACCAAAAGAATCCTGAAACTTACTGTAAGCTTAATAAACCTCTGTTAATAATATAAAAATTATCGCTATTATTGATGTTAAATTAATCTATATTTTTATCATTAAGTGTCGCGTCCGATGTCTTCATTATCATGTGGTCAGCTCCATATATTGAGGAAACTAGCGCTACTGAGGCTCACCGCTTGTATGGAAAGATATTGTCCATCACATAAATCCGGTTGGAATTGGGAGTTACCTAAGCTTATAAGAAAGATCAAGACGCCAGATTACAAAGGTATTTCTTAAGTTATACTAAACATAGTTGACGGTACTTTACCTTTGATGTTGTTTCGGCATTTCTTCCCATTTACAAAGAAGAAAAAATGACTATATATTTAGATTAGAATATAAATAAGGCTAGAGAAAGAATGGAGATATTATTTTTCAAATTTAATTTAATTGATGTATATTTCATATTTTATTTAAAAAAATATATTTTTTGGTATCTTGATGTTCTTTGGTAGATTAAAAAATCTGTTATTTTATACAAACTGCGTGTAAATATGATTTTGTAACGTAATATTTCAGATAAGACAGTTTTCGGTGTACCTCTAACAGTCTCTCTACAGAGGACGGGTCACTCTTTGCCAAAACCGATTCAATGCGCTCTTAATTGGCTGAAGAACAATGCGTTAGAACAGGTACATAATATAAATTACCATAAATATGTCCAAATAGACAAAAATAAACATTAACAAACTCTCTTAATAAAAGGAGATGAAATAATTTCGATTGTAAAATCTTTGTTATCTTTGTTTCCATATTTTGAAAGAAAGAAAGAAAAGTTTTATTATATTCTTATTATTATTACATTTTATTATATTCTTATTATATTCTATGAAAATTTTCTGACAATATCCACTTTTAATATTATATATTACTATTCCAGATGGGTATATTCAGAAAGGCTGGAGTTAAATCTCGAATAGCCAAACTCAGAGCTATGGTCGAATCAGCGGGAGCGACTACAGCAACATTCGCCATCGAGAACATGAACACCATAGACCCAAACCAGTCTAGTCTGAACTTCGATGGTGCCCAGGCTCATGATGTAGCGGATATGGTGAAGCAATACTTCAGAGAGCTCCCTGATGCTTTGCTGACTAATAAACTGAGTGAAACCTTCATTGCTATATTTCAACGTGAGTTCCTTCACAAATTATTTCCATTATCGCTTATTGTGGGAAGTCTGCCTTAGGTGTACCTAAGGCAGACTTCCCACAATAAGCGATAACGCCCCCTTATGAGCGTTGCAGACCTAAACACAGGGAGAGTGATTTGTAATTCCATATAACTAGAATAAATTTGGTTTTTGCAAGTTGAAAAAATGGGGGCGGTAAAAAAAAAATTATTCTCAAAGTGGACAGTACACGAAATAGGTTTTGGGTCCAATGATCTAAAGCAATTCAATAAAACAGTTTCTTTACCATTCCATACAATTCTTGTCAAAATTCGGAGATTGGAGAAAATGACCAAAAAGTCTTACTAGTGATTAAACCGATAAATTATTTCTTCATCAGATGTTCCGGAACCATTAAGGCCAGATGCTGTTCAATGTGCATTACTGCTTCTTCCCGAGGAACATCTAGAGGCTTTACAATCTCTACTCATTTTCTTAGCGGAGGTAATTTCTTACACTTATTTATATTAAGGAATTCCTTTCGAAACTAGGTGACATTTATTTTAGTCAATGAGATCAAACAATTTACTAAGTTAGCAACCAAAGAGGTTGAAAATATTATATAAAAAAATCAACATACATGAATGGTTTTTAACAGCTTTTTTACTTTTGTATTTGTAATAATTTCTAAAGGGAAACAGTCAAAATAACTAGTAAACTAGAAAAAAGATTACGTAGTTTTTCAATTATCCGTGGAAACATATTTGTGGGTTAATTCTTTAAAAAAATCCTTCTAAATAGCAGCATTTTTTACAGGTCGCAGAACACTCAACCACAAATCAGATGACTGCATCAAATTTGGCTGTTTGTTTTGCGCCAACATTATTAAGACTACACCACGCGCCGCCACAGACTGGTAGTACCAAAGAAGGAAATTCTAATAGGTAATATATATGACATTAATCTTTATGAATAAATAGGCCTTGTGTACATAATTACTTGCTTAAATTTGCAAACATTACCTTGTGCATATATCCTATACCTTGTTTGTTTCAAGTAAATTAATTTAAATATATTTCAGCAATTACAAGCATTTTCAAGTTTCATATTACCAATTCTTTTTTTGTCTTACTACGGATTGCTAACATTTATTCGTTTCTGAAATGAAATTAAGATGTTGATGAAGTAATGTTAGATTTTACACATATTAGATTTTAGACATAACGAATCCAATTCAACATCATGCCCAGAGTTAAATAATATAAGACACACATGATGGCCGAAGATGGAGCCTTAGAATAAAGAATTCAGTTCGAAGCCCTCTAATAATTTTACATTACTGGAATACAATCACAATCGTATACACAAATAGACTTTTATATACACAATATATGTATCTTTAGAGCCAAACGGCAAATAAATGCCAATACGTCCATGGTTTAACAGAATTCTCCAAATTATAATATTAAAAACGTCATCTTCAGAACTCTGATAGAGAGCGCGCTAGACCAGCGTCAGATCAGCGAGTCTCGAGCAGCACACGCGTGTTTACTGCTGCTGGTGACGCAGCACAAACAGCTGTTCCTCGCACCAGCTGACATGCTGGCGAGGTGCAAGTTCAATTACTTCGAGGAGAGCGTACCGGTCAGTATCATTCGTTCTTTCATTCGTTCTAATATTTTCATAGTTCATAGGTCAATTTTATTCGTTCATGATTTGAAGTATATTTTAGATGTTAAAAAAAGATTCACATAATATGTTCACAGTTCATAGGTACTCGTAAATTTTATTCGTTCACGATTTGAAAAATGTTTTTATAGTATTCCGATTAATATTAACAGGCTCATTATTTGAATAAATATCATTTTTTATATCTTGCTCTCTCTCTCTCTCTTGATTTTCGTAAAATTCTTCTTGACATGAATAGTTATTTGTATTAAGTGTTATGTATGAACGATCATCACGTTAATACCTATTATTTAAAACAATTAATCAAGTCACAACTAAATCTATTATTAAATAATTTTATTTACCTATATTTGCACTCCTATAAACTTTATTGTTCTATTTGTATTTATTATTTCTTTGTTATTTCAGGTGTCACTTGAAGAGTTGGGAGCGGATTTCAATCAAGACTGGAAAGGTTTTCAACAAGCCTGCATCAAAGCATTACTCAAAGAAGCCAAAGAGAAGTGAGTGATTCATAATGATATTATTTTAAACTTTCCATTTATCTAACAACAAATCAATTTCAATTTTCTCTTCATAATATCCTATATCCTATTACTTTACTAAAATTTTCATGCCTTTTTAGAGTCTGTGGCCGGTCGGGAAAGAGGTGAGATAGGTGTTAGAGGCATTTCCACTGAATTATCATTTTTGTTGTACTTTAATCTGTTCTTTGGTGAAATCTTCCTACCAAAAGAACAGATTAGAACTAATATTATAAGATCTCACTTCATGATCATCTGTAGTCGTGTGGGTGACACCTAGATGTTATAAATTAGATGATTAGTTGTTTGATTGCATTTAATTAGATGATTTGCTGTTGCAATTTTAGTTTATACAATTTATATATACATAATAAGCAATTATATTATTCATTTGCAAGAAATTTCTTAACCACAAAACTTGTATACCGAACAAGCGTAACATTTAGAGGGACTTAAATATGTTTTTATGTATAATTATTATATACTAAAAAGAACCAAGAAAAGATACGACAAAGTTCATAATAATATAGCACTAATACTTAGTCTTTAATAACACAATATCTTGGCTGCAATAAGAATTACTTCAACTCACACCAATATGAAAACGCTAATAAAAAATAAAGAAAATCTTTGGATCACCAGAAAAGATCAATAAGACAATCAAAATTCGTCTCAATTGTGTCAGAAAACGAGCAAAATATATCAAAGAAAATTCGTCTCTATTGTATTTGACATAAGATTGTATATTCCAGAACGCGCGGTTGGATGTCAGTTTCGGGAGCAGCGCCTCACGTTGAGTTATGCTGCAAGAAAGTCGGCGATGGACATCCATTGAGGCTGTGGAGGGCCACTACTGACGTGGAGGCACCGCCGCAGGAGGTTATGCAAAGGTTCGTCTTTAAATACATATGTGATCATCCCTAGGTAAAACCAAAGGAAATATTCGTGTGAAATTGATTATTCCGTGCTTGAAGTCTTATAGAAAATAGTTACAGACTATACTTAATTTAACTGAACAAAATTTTGTGCCTTCAAAAAGGAGTTAGATCATCAATCGACTATTTTATGCGTTCCAGTTGTAACAAAGTTTAAAAATATATTAATTTAACTCAACAAAATTTTCACGCTTTGAAAACTTTAGATAATTGAGAACTTCAGTCGACTAATTTATGCATTGTAGTTATAACAACATTTAGAAATATATAGTTCGTATCATAAAATTTTATGGTAGAGGAAATGTTTCTATATAGGAGTGTTGGTATTTAAAGCAATTTGAATTTTCAATACAAACATATATTTGAAGTCACTTAAAATTATTTATTAGTTTCTTTATGTATAAGTTATTGTAAATAATATTGTTATAATTCCAGGATACTCCGCGAGAGGCATATTTGGGATGATTCCCTTGTGAAGTGGCGCGTGGCTGAAAAGTTGGGACCTAACGCAGAAGTGTTTCAATACATCACGGCATCTAGCTTCAACTTACCGCATAGGGACTATTGTGTGCTACGGTAAATATCATAGAAACCAAAATAATATCTTTTAACAATTTAATGACAGTTTAAGACATTGTTATAAGCACATTATTATTATTATTATTGCAAAGTTGAGAATACCATATTTTTTGCTCTATTAATTACGTAAAAAGAGTATCATTTGCTAGGGTCCTTGGAAATTTAAATTAAATCCTTATTTGCCAAGCTCAATTCCAAAAACATAAACTCATGAACACACGTTACATTAAATACACTTGGATGTTAAAAAAATATTAATTATAAAGACAGCATCCATTGAAAGTTTGTCTTATAAATATTTAAGAATCCACATCAGATTAGAAGCTGTCCTAAAGAATTCGTTTCGTCCCAATACTTTTTCAAACCGGAAATGATGAAATCTGTTTCAGAATCAGAAAACATAAATATATATATGAATATTTTTAACAACATACTCCCGACGTTTCGGTTACTTTGCAGCAACCGAGATAAACGAAACGTCGAAAGTATGCTGTTAAAAACAATAATTATAAAAGCATCGCAAATCCAAAAAAACATTACTTTCATTTACACGAATACTCGCGAAAACCTCATATCTCATTATACGTATACGAATTCGATGAAAACTATATAATAACGAAATTTCCTTCCTAGATCTTGGCAGCAGGGCGGCAGCGGTGGCGGCGGCTGGTGTGCGGTGGCTGAGACATCAGTAGCTCATGGAGCGGCGTCAGACGGAGCCAGGGGAGTTGTACTAGCTTCGAGATACCTCGCACAACCAGCGGGTAAAGGACGAAGCAGACTTGTACATCTCGCAAGAGTTGATACAATGTAAGTGTTTTTTTATTTATTTATTTAGGTTCGTTAGCGGTTTTTACACAATGAATAATTAAATAAAGTTACATATAAATTAATAACATGCATAAATTGTGTAAAATCAATTTAAAGCAAACACTGCATGCAAAACATAATCAGTTGAAAATACAAGGAAGGTGAATCAATAAATAATAATTAAGAACATACAAAACGAGAATAATAAAAAATGCAGACTAGAACTTTGTGAAAAAATTAAACAATTCAAAGAACTCGACCAAGTGTTCTCTAAGAGAAGATTATTATTACTAGCGCTATTATTGTTTATCAGTCAGTTATGGCTTAATGGTTAAAAAGGTCCGCCTCTCATGCATGAGGGCGCGAGTTCGATCCTGGCAAGTACCAATGTGATTTTTCCGAGTCATATGTACTTTCTAAGAGTATTTAGACATCACTTATTAATGCATTCCCTAAGAGGGTTAATGTCAGACAGGCGGCCTCTCGTAAAAACAATTAGCCAAAACTATACACGACATGTAAGGCAGACCCTGGCTGTAGCTGGGAAATTGCCAGGTAGAAGAAGATTATTGTTTATTATTTTAAAATGAATAGTGGTTCAAAATCATCCAAGCTGATGTAAATATAAATGTATACTTAGAAGGTGAATGCACTATGACGATGTAGAAAGATTGTTTAGGGTACTTTCGTCGTAAAGACAAGGGCAATGTTATCTATGCATTGTGTATATTGAAATGTTTTTTTTCTATTTCCATAGAAATTCATAAGACAAAATTAGTATTTTTTTCTTTAATAAAAAATATATAATATGTAGATATCATCACTTCTGTAAAATATTCAAATTTGCACCAATATAAAACATGAACATTGTTTTGGCTACTACAGCTTTACTCTATTTTTTCATACATATTCATCTTTAGTATATATGTTATGGTATAATTTATTTAATATTATTTTCAGGGGACGTACTCCAGAATGGTACAACAAATGCTATGGGCATATCTGCGCATTGTATCTGGCTAGGATTCGAGCCTCCTTCAAGCATAATACAGAAGGACCTGAATCGAATGTATGATCAAAACATTCCACTTAAGTCCTATCCATCTCGGATAGACTTAAGTTTAACTTTACCTGAACGAAGCTTATATAGCTTCCATAATAATAATTCTGTGGATATTGTCTGTGTTGTACACCAAATGTGGTATTTAAAAATAAAAAATCTCAAATATTACTTGCTAGTTATGATATAAGCATAATATTTTTGATTTCATTACTTATTAGTAATTTTTACCTACCTCCAACATTCATTTATATGTAATTTTTTTTCGTATTATAAGAAAAAACATTTAACCATCAACAGCTGCTAAATAAAAAAAAGCACAATGCGATTGTGAAATTAGAATTAAATAGAAAAGAAAATCTTTCAATGCACTGTTGTAATGGTGAAATGTGTCCTTACCTATTCGCCCATAAGGGACCTACCAAAAAGCCTGACTGCATTACGCATATTATTTAGTGTTTTAGGTTAGAGAATGTATATAATATACAAAATTCGTGATTATAGATTCCCCATGGTGCATAGTGAATGTCTTACTGTAGATTTATTGATATATTATTCAAAATTGTGAGTAGTAATCTCAATGTTTGTAGATTTGAAATATTACCAAGACCTATGTAAAGTTATCATAACATATCACTAGTCATATTATTATATTCATTATTTTAAAATTAAATAACATTTTTGTCTGTACCTGCCCTGTGTTCAGGACACAGTATTACAATATGTAAATAAAAGTTTATCCATATATACTCTGTGTACTTACCGTCAAAGTTGACGTTTATGTGAAAATTATCATTATTGACGTATAATTCCGTGTTGAACGTTATATAAAGTTTTAATTGTAAGAAGTCTGACTGTAAATAAGGGATAAGTATAATCATCACAATTTTATGATCTATTTATAAGTTGTATGACGTGTTTCAGGGTGCAAGGTTGTTTGTGTATGAGAACTCATTTTTGCCTAATGCAGCCTAACCAGAGTTCTTATGTATTCAGTTTAAAATAAAACTGAATACAAATGCAGTTTGAAACACTCATACAAAATAATTGTATTTCCAATTCTGGAAGAAATAATATGGAGCCAAATATCACAATCTTTGTAAATAATTATAAGCAATGATATTTTAAATAAATCTCAAATAATTTATGTGTTGCTAGTTACCTGTGAAATCACAATTTAATAATGCTTTGGTGCAGTTATTGTAATAAGTGAAATTGTATTTATTTCTTCTCTTATTCATAGTACACCATTTACATAATATATTATACTAAATCTATAACTATTTAATGTTTAGTTATTTCAAATTTGTGCATTATTGTATTGAAATCAAGAAATCAATGTTATAGATTAAAAAGAAATTGGCATGTAAGGTCTAATATATTCAGTGTAGTATTTGAAAAAGAAGTTCTATGGATGTTCAAATTTTAAAATATTTTAAGTCTTTATTAACAGAATGTGCTTTGAAAATGTTTATATAGAAACCTTTATCGCTAAAAAAAAGCCCTTTCAACTAATAATAAAGATTACAAATTATAAAAGAACTTAAATTGTTTAATCTATAACTAATTTATATTATTGTTGTTGCAAATTAAATGTTATTAGAAATTATGAAAAAAAAATACTATTTTGATAATAAATGCAATACTTTTAAACTCTCAATGTAAATGTTTAGTGCACCCGATTAAAATTATATTCCGTCATTTTGATGTTTACCAATAAATACTCCTTGTATGTTATTATGTAAATTACCTTATGTAAAATAAACTAATGCATTGTGATTTATTCTTTATGAATTATATGGACCATTATAAATATACCATGTTTTATTTTTCCTTAATAAATTTTTTCTAATAAAATATTTGAGAAATTTATTTAAAAAGTCAGACTACCCAATATATTATAAAATTATTACATATGAAATTGGTGTTTAGTTGTACTGGTCACTTTGATGTTTAATATATCCTTCTGGTTATAAAAACCAATTTCATCCCTACTAATATTATAAATGCGAAAGTAACTCTGTCTGTCTGTCTGTCTGTCTGTCTGTCTGTCTGTCTGCTACGCTTTCACGCCTAAACCACTGAACTGATTTTAATGAAATTCGGTACAGAGATAGAGTTGACCTTGAGAAAGAACATAGGATAGTTTTTATCCCAGACTTTTGAAAGGTTCTCTTGGAAACGCGATATAACCGAACTCCACGCGGCGAAGCTGCGGGCGGAAAGCTAGTATAAGATAATACAATTTACTCAGGCATTTGTATTTCCATCTTTGGTTTTTTTTTGTGGCACCCTAATACATTTCAATTTTATAGCTGTACCATGAATAACTACCTTCATTTGATGATTTGAATAATTTTGCCAGGGTCTACCATAATAGTATTTTCGTAAGCTTTCTAGCTATGGCAAGCCAAATGGTATGATAGTCTGGATTTCCGACTCTTAACAGCCATACTCTATTAGATATTAATGGGTGCATGTTTGAACCAATGGCTATTAATGCAGGGATTGCTCATGGGTCTGTCGTCGCCACAAATCTGAGTTTGTTGCTCATTAACACTGCTATCAATCCAACTCTCAAACTAACTTGGATCAGAATGAATCAGGAAGAGAGGGCATTGTAGAATGTTATAATTTCTCACTTCAAGCAGTCTGCTTTTGGGAGGATGACAATCTTGTGAAATTTATCGCCATCAAAAACAATATTTCTAACCCCAAAAGAGACCCATTCACTGCGACTCCAAAGTTTCTGAAAGTATACCTTCAGTTACTGGATATTACCACCCTCACCGCATTTTTCCGCCTGTCCCAAGCTGAAGAATTTGATGTTTTCTTTTTTGTTTTTTTTTTATTTTATTTTTTATGTGAAAGCTGGCAAACGAGCAGACGGCCCACTTGATGGAAGGTGGTTACCGTCGCCCATGGACATCCGCAACATCTATGTCTCTCACTCATCGGACGAAACGCAGCCATCAAAGGCTACTTCACGCCGATCTTCTGAGAGAGGGTGGTACTTCCCCGGTCGAGCCAGCCCATGTTCGAGCTGTAGTAACTGACTACAGCTAGGCTCTACCACCTAAAGATTATTATCAGTTGAAATACTTCGCTATAGAAGTAAATTACGCATTTTACTCGGATGCATCTCGGTATACGGATCATTGTCTCGTACGGTATTCGATAGCTGCTTCATTCTGATAAAAGATATCGTGGACATTTATTCTTACAATTATTGTCTGCCTTCAATGGCGTGCACATTATGGATGCAAATAAGCACTGCATACCCTACCCATATAACAACTAAACCTATACCTATTGGTTAATTCTTACTTAACATACTTTTAATCATACATTACGAAATACAAATGTTTACAGTCATTTAAATGACATTTGATTCATGATTTGTTAATAAGTGCCATTTATCAATGTAAAAAACGAAACATTTTCGATCGACCGCTGCTAACTGCTAACTTTGTTTAATTATTTTGTATTGTTTAAAATCTGGTAGAAAGTACGTTAATTTTCTAATGAAACGGGGCTCTCTGTGATTGATCGGTAAAATGATCATATAATTTTTTCGCCATTTTATCATTATTAAATATTGTCATTTGTCTTTCTAACTTCTAAGAACAAGTGAATATGTGAATAAGTTTATTAGTAAACAGTGGATTAATAGATTATCAGAGGATTTATTTATTAACAGTGGATTTATTTATTAACAGAGGATTAATTTATTAACAGTGGATTAATTTATTAACAGTTCATTAATTTACTAACGGTTGATTAATTTATTAACAGTTGATTAATTTATTAACAATTGATTAATTAACTAACAGTTGATAAATTTACTAACAGTTGATTAATTTACTAACAGTTGATTAATTTACTAACAGTTGATTAATTTATTAACAGTTAATTAATTTACTAACAGTGGATTAATTTATTAACAGTTATTAATTTACTAACAGTTGATTAATTTATTAACTGTGGATTTACTAACAGTGGATTAATTTATTAACAGTGGATTAATTTATTAACAGAGGATTAATTTATTAACAGTGGATTAGTTTATTAATAGTTGATCAATTTATTAACGGTTGATTAATTTATTAACAGTTGATTAATTTACTAACAGTTGATTAAATTATTAACAGTTGATTAATTTACTAACAGTTGATTAATTTATTAACAGTTTATTAATTTACTAACAGTGGATTAATTTATTAACAGTGGATTTACTAACAGTGGATTAATTTATTAACAGTGGATTAATTTATTAACAGTTGATTAATTTATTAACAGTGGATTTACTAACGGTGGATTAATTTATTAACAGTGGATTTACTAACAGTGGATTAATTTATTAACAGTGGATTAATTTATTAACAGTGGATTAATTTATTAACAGTTGATTAATTTATTAACAGTTGATTAATTTATTAACAGTTTATTAATTTATTAACAGTGGATTTACTAACAGTGGACTAATTTATTAACAGTGGATTTACTAACAGTGGATTAATTTATTAACAGTGGATTTACTAACAGTGGATTAATTTATTAACAGTGGATTAATTTATTAACAGTGGATTAATTTATTAACAGTGGATTTACTAACAGTGGACTAATTTATTAACAGTGGATTTACTAACAGTGGATTAATTTATTAACAGTGGATTTACTAACAGTGGATTAATTTATTAACAGTGGATTAATTTATTAACAGTGGATTTACTAACAGTGGATTAATTTATTAACAGTGGATTTACTAACACTGGATTTAGGAGTCCATAGCGGACAAACACGTGACACGAAATTTTTATATATATAAAAATAAAAAGTTTTTTTATGGATCTTCTCGATATGATACGAAAAAATTAAATAACTACAGATGACGTAATCATCATCTAGACTCCCCTACCCCCCATGTCATCCAAAATAAGCAAAGCAAAGACAATTAGCTTGTACAATAGTCTTTCTAAATAACAACACAAGAAAATGTTGCTTGATTTATATTAATCTTATTATTTGTTTCAAATAACGAATTTATTTTCCAATAAACAATGTTTTTTGCGTCTATCGGAACGTTAAAGCTGAGTACGGAAATCCTCATCCATTGCAAACATGAAACATGTATAGGTAACATTGAATTGGCGCAAATTGAGAGTTGACTTTTAAAAACGTCAGTCGGTATTGTCGCGTGTTGGTTGTAGGATGTCTAGTGACAATTAAAGTTAGCTAATAGCGATGGAACCTATAATATTGAGTCGGAAATTATTTTCTTAGAATAAGTTTATTCAAGTAATGAATATACCCACAATGAAACATAATTAAATAAAATGACTAAGTGAGTTAAAAATAGTAATAAATTCTAGCCCGTGGTGTTTTCCTTTTGCTTTCTCTGAATTTGTCTTTATAATTCGGAAAATTTCAAACCCGACACTCGAACAAGTTTGTGCTAGAGAAAAATTGGAAATGGATAATAAAGAAGCAGAAATGGATTGCACTGAATTAAAGATGAGTAACGCAGTCGAACAAAAGGTTGAAGAAATTGTGAGAAAAGAACCCATCTGGATTTTCGGTTATGGATCTTTGTGCTGGAATCCCGGCTTTGGCTACCAACAATCATGTATCGGATATATAACAGGATTTTCTAGAAGATTTTGGCAAGGAAACACTACACATCGCGGCACTGATGCCAAGGTTAATATCATAGTATTATTAGTAATAAGTTAATAATATTTCTGACTAAATACCGCTTATTTAGACACGATAGATACCTCAGCATTAATTCATTTAGTTATTGTACCTAAAATATAATAAAGCATATTTATTTTAAAGCCATCTCAATGTTGCTGATGCAACATGTGACTTGACTTTCACCTTGCGGTATTTAAAGATTCAATGAATTTTTTTAACAACGAAAATTATTAATTTGGTAAATAAATTATTATTTTATTAGTATTACCAATATTCCTAATATATTGACCTTGTAAAGATATTGAAAATGTATTAAAAATGATAAAAAAACGATTGTTCTATTTCGAAAATGCTTAGAATTTCATAAGGTCAAGTGAAATTCATTCCAATTACTTAGATATTATTTACACTTGTAGTCATTATTATGTTAAATATTAATTTCAATGTTTGCAAACTAGCTTATCATGTAAAAAAGTTTTAAACCAAAATATTTGTGTTTGTCTGGATGTCAAGGTGATGTCAATTTGTTATCTATTATTAATTTTATATATGTAAATTTATAATTTTTAATATCATTTCTTGTGAAAAAGGAATGATTTTTGTTAAAAACCCAGTTACATCATCCTCCATATGTAACAGATGATTAAATTTGCTAAGAAAGAAGATAATTATTACCGATATATCTAAAAAAGAACACAGATTTTTTTTTATTACTTTTTTTCATGAAAAGAAAGAGTCCAAAGAAAACAAATCCGACTGCTTGTATGATGTTGCAGTTGTTAAAACATTATATTATTTATTTTTCATCGCAACAATACTTTTTTTATTTGAACTTATTTAAAAAAATTTCTAGTTTTTTATTATATATCATTTTAGTATGTATATATTGTATGATCGATATTATCATTTATATAATTTAATATAATTATTCTTGTTAACAAACAATAACTCTTGTTTTTTAATATATAATTAGAACAAAACATTCTTTGTTACAGCCGGGACGAGTAGCAACTCTTGTTGAAGATAAAGAGGTATGATACTCATAAAAATTATTATAATTATACATATATAAGAAAATATATAAACAATAGATCATAAAAAATATAATGGAAAGTACCCGAACATAAAAGAAATTACAATATGGTAATAAATATTGTTATAATTTAATACCTTTTGTATTAAGTTTTATTACATTATTTATATCAAAATAATTATGAAATAATTCAATATATATAACAAATGTGTCAAAACCATTTGTTAACTATCACACAAATGAACAATGGGTCGTGATAAACATATAAATATATATAATAATTTTAATTTATTTTAAATTCTCTTAGAGAGTTTTGAATACAAATGTTGATAAGTAAGCCAAAGACTCAAGTACGAAATAGTTGAATATACATTTTAAGTATTTATTGAGCGATACACTTACATATTACTTATTTAAGTGTATATTTACTTTGATATAAGCTAAGATTTATTAATGAAAATACTTGTAACTAAACATATTTAGTTTTATACTTGCTACTAAGGATACTAAATACAAAACAATTGTCTTTAGAAACAGAATATTTTGGTGAAAGTTTTTTGTATTCTGGTATTGTTTTGAATTGACTTCCTAACAGGAAGTTTGTATTTCGTACAGTTTTCTATTACGACTTACTTTTTTAATTGTTTTTCATCTATAGTTAGTCCAACTATATCAAGTATCAAGTGAATTATATTCCTTTTATTTTTCTCTCTTTCTTTCTTCCTCTCTCTCTCGCTCTTAAACTTCAATTCTTCTTATATTTCATTATATTTTGTTAATCTCTTGTTAATATTAGATGAGGATATCGACAACTAATAAATTTTTATCATTAGAACAGAATCAAATTTGATTCTCCCAATTCTTTAAAAAAACTTCAAGTAAGACTCAAATGTTATAGAGAGAAGTATTCCTTTTTGTATTCAAATAAAATAATATCTTTAAGTTAGGTCGATGATATAGTTTTGTGACCACGGTTTTCTTATAACTGCGTATACGGGGTTACTAAGTTTTTAGGAGTAATAAGCATATTATTTAAAAAAAAAATTACATTCTTAGATACAAATAATGATGTTTGGAAAAATATTTCGATAAATAATAATATTCAAATTAAAATTATCGATAGTATTTTGGATATTTTTAATTATGTTTAAATATAAAATATCTTTAAATAGTTACATGTAGAGGTCGTTAAATATTTTTTCATTGTAGTTATTTTGCGAGACTAACTCATAAAAGATCGCGACGCGGCAACTGGTAACAATTGCATCCGGCTATTTGAGAATTGACGAATTGTGTGATGCGTTTGATATTGTATTTATTAACATGCCTGTAGTGAGTGCAGTATAGAAAAGTGGGAAAAAATAGAAAAAAAATCTTTCGTAGAGAATTTTTCAACAAAATTTTAATAAAAGTGCTTTAAATATTGATAGAAAAACTTTTTAATACGACTCATTGTATTCTATGTGTGATCATAAAAAAAATATACAATCATAAAATGAGAATACTAATTATATATTTATAATGAAAAGATAAAACTTACGAAAGTTAAGTACATATTCTTATAAAAACCTTTCTAAAACATAAAATCTCTTGAGATTTGAAACATTTTTATAGCGCGTTAAAAATTTGTTGAAGTAATTTTTGTGACTTAAAATTTTTACTACAAACTAAAATCGATTCAAAAGTAGCCTATACATAAATATTAACATGAAATTATTATATAATTATCATAACCTACCTTTAAGGTTAGGTACTTACATATGTTACATTAAAAAACCTTTTTTTATTGAACGTAAATATATATGTATTCATGTTTCTCTAAGCCATTTTATTTTCTCATTGCATTTATAGCAAAACATCAAAACAACCATTTCAATATAACCATATTATAATGATAATTTTGTACCAATTAAATATTATATTTCAAATCTTTGATCTCAATAATGAAAAAAGAGGTAAATCTATGTGGAACATTTTATTTAATTCTTTAACATATGGTTTTAATCTATGTAATCTATTGAATATGCTAGAGAACAAGTTTATAAATTTGTTTTCTTTGAGCGTCCTTGATATTTCTATTAAAATCTAGACATTATGAATAAAATACATTTAATTACTATAACAAAAACAAAACGACGCAAAAATCGTCGCTAAAAAGCATTCAAATAAATAAAATCGAGTCTAATAGTCCATTTAATACAAATGGACAATAAAAAAATAAGTTAAATAAATAGAACTATCACTAAATAAACATTTACAAAGCTTCACTTATATTATTTATAATTCAAATACTTCACGATAATTACATCGTGATTTTCAATATGAAGTGTATTTGTATATATATGTATATGTTTTATTTTATAACATAGATTACGAGTAATGGTCATACGAAGTGCTCTTTGTTCCCATAACACTAGGATTGTTTCAAAACAGTCACTAGCTTATGTCATTTAAAACAATAGTTGTTGAGTATTGTTTAAACTGATTGAACTATTATTATATGTGAATGATAGCTTATATATAAACGGTCAATAGCTTAAGACCTGTGTAGATTAGACAAGAGATAAACGAAACCAACTTTAGTCTATGTTTGCTTCGTTGAGTACACACGTAAAACAGTTTTCCTTACATGAACTTTTGCATATTGGCTTAGATTATTGAATGAATAAGCGGACTTGGTTCTTCAGCTGTGGTCGGGACGAGCGACCGGAATAAGCGCTAAGATTATGATGATAAATTAGTACAAAGCTATATACAGGGTGACTGGTGAATTACTATCGATACTTGAGGACGTGATATTTAACGATCATATATGACAAAATAAAAATTAATATAACATAAATATTAATAAACTTCTAAGTAAAGTTAACCAAAAGTTATGTAATTAATTACGCATCGTGTGAATACCCTACAGATTAGGTACACACACACACACACACACTCGCGCGCGGTGGCGTGGTGTTGTATCAGCACGCCACCGCACGCGTCACGCTTGGAACACTTGGAACGTGTCCACACTTTATTTATTTATATGCAAATTTGGTAAAAAATTAAGTACCTATTTTTTTACATAATTCGAATGAGAATCATGTACCGAGTATACTCCTTAAATATTGATAGTAATTCACCAGTCACCCTGTATATAAATGGTTTTAAATTTTGTGAAAATCAATTAATGACTATAAAGACAGCATTAGGACTATTAATTGTTGGGTACGGATCATTGAATTGCTTCTAAGAGCATTATTAACTTGACTTTTATTTACTTTTTAGAATTTGTTGATATACAGAGACAAGGAACGTGAGATTAAAGGTTTTATGACATTGTTTTTAACTCGTTCATTTTCAAGAGGAATATAAAAGTGTACCAATAAGGTCATTGAACTATAAGAAATAAAACGCAACGTATCTTTCTTTGCTTCCGTAAATAAAGATAAAATATCTTGAGAGACAACAGATGATTAAGTCAAATCATGCTATCCCTACTAATATTATAAATGCGAAAGTAACTCTGTCTGTCTATCTGTCTGTTACGCTTTCACGCCTAAACCACTGAACTGATTTTAATGAAATTTGGTACAGAGATAGAGTTGACTTTGATATGGAACATAGTATAGTTTTTATCCCAGACTTTTGAAAGGTTCTCTTGGAAACGCGATATAAAGGAATCTTTATTTCAAAGTTTATCTGAAATGCATTGTTCGTTTTCCTAATATTCAAAATGTTAATTTCGAAGTTGTTTAAACTTTTTTTTAAAATAAAAATAATAGCTTGAGACCAAATATAAACAGATAGTTTACAGCAATTTGCAGTGTGACAGTTTTAACTTGTCAATTATTCAATTGTACATTGCTTGCGAAAGCACCCCTTGGGTACATTATCTTCGCTGTTTGCAATGATTCAGCAGTGAAGTTTAGTACTCTTTGTACTTTATATCTGTAGAAAAAAATAATATTCTTTTTTATATTTTAAAACATCTGCAATGAGATATCTCGCTTACAATTAAAGTATTATCAGGAGATTCATTACTACAACTTTACTTTCATCTCTAGTCTACTTTAAAATATGGAGAATATTTCCAGGAAATAATAAAATTCTTGAGGAAAACATAATTCATCATTATACGTATTGGTGGTTCGAATGACGGAGTATTTTAATGTAAGCCATTTCTTTATATTCTGATATGATTTTATAAAAATTGAAAATGTATTAGCTTTGATGAAAATCCAGATAAAAAAAATGCAATCGATTTAAGGTCTTGTTTGAAGAGTTTATACATACTTGTAAACTACGTAAAATATTTTTGTCATGATACGACTAAAGATATTTTTCTAAAGAACCATTTTTTTTTTCTAAATAATCCAAGAAGGCTTTCCTAGTTTCGTAAAATTCTTTATGTTAAGTGCATCGTAATTTCTTTTACTATAACTCTTTTTTTGCTGACCTAAAAAATTTAATAGCTGTTTGATAATAATAATCTTTATACAATTAAGAATTGCCGCTAGTGCTTTTCAAAATTCGCCTTCCTTGATCCTAGCTATTATTAATATTATACATACATATTTCCTTAAAATGCCAAATTTTATATTTTCAAGCAATAGTTATTGTTAAATATATATCACACAAGTAAAATAAGTTATCATAAGAAAAATAAAAATTAGTCACCCTCGTGAAAAGTTTAACAACAATAAAAAATTATAAGTAAACAAAGCAATTTACGTATTATTTGACGTCATCACGATTAATATGTTTTGTTATGGTTAAGAAAAATCTATAGGTAAAGTCCAGATTTAATGAGCCGCTTAAGTTAATACTCTCATTTCATATAATAATATATTTAGGATTCTAACATAATCATTAAAAAAAATATTCCTTTATAAAGAAAGTACTTTTAAATCACTGATCAAACTTTCACCAAAAATAATATTAACGAAGGCAAAAGTTAAAATAATTTAGTATTGAAGTGAAAAGCAAGCAAACCCTCTGGTGCAAGTGTTTCCACAAGAAAGTATATACTTCTAACGACTAAATTTTCAGTAACCAAGGTATTAATACTTTTTCCTTTGAAAATTTCATATATTTGGAAGCACCTCATTATAAAGTGTATGATAATTGTCACTATAAAATATCTATAGTGTGCGTTCTTTTGTGAATAGGGTCACGGCGAGTGTAAACATCCGAAATAAAATAATCACGCGTGGGCGGAACCGTTTGTTTGTTTTGATTAAATTATTCACCCGTTTTAATGAGACTCTGATAACAGTTCAGACATATGTTAAGATGATGTCAGTGTTTTGTTGAACAGATATTAAAAACAACATATATATACAAAATATATTATATATCTTCTATATAACTGTTTCTTTTTAATCTTTATTTTAGATACAAATCTTTTATCCTTATTAATCACAATCTTAAACTGTAACATAAAAATACTTTTCTATATAATCCCTACTAATATTATAAATGCGAAAGTAACTCTGTCTGTCTGTCTGTTACGCTTTCACGCCTAAATCACTGAACTGATTTTAATGAAATTTGGTATAGATATATAGTTGACCTCAAAAAAGAACATAGGATAGTTTTTATTAAAAACTTTTGAAAAATTTTCTTGGTAACACGATATAACCAAACTCCACGCGGTCGAAGCTGCGGGCGGAAAGCTAGTTTAATATATTCAAAGAACCCAATGTATGTTAATGATGTGAAAAAATCGTAAAAACATAGTATCTAAATATAAAATTGGGCATCGTTCCATCTTATACTGCGTATATTTGAAAATCTAAAATAAGTATCAAAAACAAAATAAAAATTTATAAATCTGTTCATAACTATATGAAAACAAATTCTTAACATTCAGGTCAAAGACGTAAATGATTAAAATTATGACGTCATTTCGATCAATTTCAGAATTACTTATCGTATCTTTTAAAGAAAATAATATTAAGATACAATTATTTTATACTAAGATAATTTTGTAAATTCATTTGATCCAAGACTCATTTCCATATACACTTTATATACAGGGTGACTGGTGAATTAATATCGATACTTGAGGACGTGATATTTGACGATCATATATGACAAAATAAAAATTAATATAACATAAATATTAATAAACTTCTAAGTAAAGTTAACCAAAAGTTATATAATTACGCATCGTGTAAACACCCTACAGATTAGGTATACACACACACACACACACACGCGCGCGCGCGTGCCGCGGCGTGGTGTTGTATCAGCACGCCGCCGCACGCACCCACACTTGGAACACTTGAAACGTGTCCACAGTTTATTTATTTATACGGAAATTTGGTCAAAAATTAAGTACCTATTTTTTTTACATAATTCGAATGAGAATCATGTACCGAGTATCCTCCTTAAATATTGATAGTAATTCACCAGTCACCCTGTATAATGATTAGGGAGATTGAACGCAAATTCGACATTGGAGTTATAAAATGCTCGTATTTATTAAGAATTATAATTATTCTGAATAACCTTTACAGTGTTCTTTATCTTCGGTCTTTGCCAAATGTATTACAATCACGTATTAAATTCAGCAATTTAAAATGCGCTTTCTATATAAGAACAAATCCGATTGTCTACAAAATCAAATAAACATTCTCAAAATCGCTACAGAGTACAGACATAGATTTTACATTAACAAATTACCGCCATACATGTCTTCATTTAATGATAGCACTATCTATCTATGTTCCTTGATCTTTCGCGTTAAAAAACTTCACAGAAATTGATAAAACTTTACAGTAACTTTAATTTAAATATAGGAGTAACGTTTAGGCAATAATTTTTGTAGGAATCCAATGCAGTTTCCACAAGATCAGGGCATAACAGTATTGCGTATAATATCATAGAAATATAGATGTAACTCACGGTTTATAAATATATCTATTTCTATGAACTCATTCCGAAGATGACGCGAACGAAGTCTCGGGCTAAAACTAGTGTATAATGTATTATTGATAGATCACAGTTCACATGTAATTTGAAGGTTAAACCTATCTTATTTATTGATTTGTTTATAATTATATATACACATTATTATTTATTTTATTTTGTATTGTTTTTAAATCGAAACAATAGAAAAATTATCATAAATTCAGCTACAAATTACCTTTCACTAATTATAATTAACATCAAGTATTGTTTTAAATTATTGTTTTTAAATAAAATAAAATAATTATTACTATTACTACACTATATAAATATAAAACTATAATTACACTATTGTTTTAAATTTATTGTTTTAAAAATAATCTTATATTAAAATTTATTTACGACTTTTATGACTCTAAAAATATTTTAAAGCAAACAATAGATAAAAATAGAGCTATCGAAAACAAATAAATTTTAATAATCTTACGGAAATAAATTCATTACTGATCCATTTATATGTAATAAAATGACACATGAATATAATATCAAATTAACACATATTCTGTTATTGGGGTTATTTAATTTCTTGGTCATGATATAATGACTTGCCCCGACCGGACCTCTGACCTAACTTGAAGGGAAACAGCTCGTGATAACGGGGGCATGCCAACAAAGCGTGTACATACAAATAAACATAGAAAATATAAAAAAAAAACTCTAAAATAGATCTAATAATATTAAAGCATATATTTGTAAAGACTTTTGTTATATAAACAAAGCAGCGGTATATAATTCCTTTGTTATATCAGTCATTTGTTACTAATTCTAAATAGATAAATATTATTATTTAATCATTCCTAATAAGATATATTAATTAATTCTTGTATAACGTAATGACAAAACAAATTTGCGTTACAAGATAAGTAAAGGGAGTTTTATTTTTATATACTGTTATCGTTGTTCTAAATTCGTGAAATATCTGCTTCAAACCAGATCAGGTCAAGCGATTATTTGGGGATTTTCATACATTTCCTGTTTAAAATACCGAATTAATAGACATACATATATTTCATTTAAATGAAACTAATATGAATTTACATTCACATCTCGTCTACCAGTGATCACGGTTGCTGAAAAGTAACCGAAACGTCGGGAGTACGTAGTTTTTTTCACAAAAATAAACCGCGTAGTATATCCGAAAAATATTAGTTTCATTTAAAAGATACATTTTCAGTTATAAGCAATATTATTATTACTAAAGTAGTCCAAATCATAGTAATATTACTTTTTTAGTGATGTTTATAAATACTACATCTATATGTAAATAGAATTATGTTGATAATTTCCATACACGTGTAAGAATGTATGTCAAGCTATGTGTGAAGCATTGACATTGAACGCCTACACATATAATAGCGTTAATAAACACCCTACAACTTGAATAATCTCTTACTTAACTACTAAGAAAACTACTGAGAAATATTTATATAAAAAAGTAATGGAAATTTTAACTACCTTCAAAATCTTTGTAGTTTTTTTCTCTTACACAAAGTAACTGTGCCAACGTCTGTAATAATTTCGTCATTTCACATTTCTCAAGTACGTCGCAATCTTCGAGACTTCAATCAAAAGTTACGAAATGTATTAATAAATATTTGACAGAAAAACGGATTCATTGTAACAGTTATTTGAGAAAAACCTTGAAAATTACATTGTTTAATAGCCAATCAAATCTTTTATTAATATTAACTATTTATTTCTTTTTCAGGGAATCACATGGGGAAAAGCGTTCCTAATATCAGCTGACGACAAAGCAGCGCTGCCGTATTTATCGACTAGAGAGTGCAAACTAGGAGGTTACAGAGTTTACTCAGTGAATTTCCATTCCAGGTCAATAAGTCTACCTTCTAGTTCTACAACCACTGATACAAAAACCGCGCTTCTATATATAGCAGTTCCTGAAAATAAGCATTGGCTAGGGTCCGCTCCTTTACCAGATATTGCCAAACAGATACTCGAATGCCACGGCTCTTCAGGCTCGAACGTAGAATATCTCCTAAAATTAGCTGATTTCATGAGAATGGAAGTTCCCGAAGCGCTAGACGAACATCTCTTCTCCTTGGAGAGGCTAGTATGGAAGTTTGCTGCGGACATGAAAATATGTTTAAGATCATTGATGAGTGATGAGAAAGATGAGGTTAAGCCAGAAGTTAAAACACCCAGCTTCCAATTCGCTTCGAGAATACCTGATAAGAAATTACGTTGTGTGAACATGTGATAAGAATCATTGTGTTATAAAGCTTTAAGAATCAAAATCCTACGCGTTTCCGTGTTCAGTGATTGTGATAACGCTCATGTATTGTCTAAGTCTATAACCATTGTTCCTCATATAGATTTCAACTTAACCGTTACGATAGAAATTAATGACGAATAATACAACGGATGCATTCACTTAAACATCCCATAGTTTATATTTTGTTAATTTTTCCAAACGCTACTTCAGTGTAACAAATCGTCAATCGATTCGCTATCGATTAATAATCGATTCGATTTGACTCGATTAATTCGTCGCAAAAAATAAACAAAAAATAAAACAATATTAGATTTGTATAGATTAATTGAACGTTTGAAACGCTGGCGTTTTTAATGTTTAGTTATATTTATAAGTAATTTAAATTTTTCATTAAAAAAAAAATCTTCGATAATAACATATTATGACCAAAAATATTTAAAGTATTATGGACCATGTATGATTAGGATTAAGTTGATTTATTTATTATTTGACGATAATTTGAAAATAAAAACATATTGATAAAGATTTTGTATAGAATGATTTTTTTAAGTGATATTTGTATTAAATAAAAAGTAATTTTAAATAAAGAAATTAATACAACAATAATTTTGTTTTTTTTTTTCCTTATCGGTAGGATATGTCTGACTATTTTAAGTTTATTAATTATTCTTAGACGTAAATTAATCACAAATTTTTAAATGTATTCCGAAAGACCAAAATTATTTATATTGATATTGTATATTTTGAAGTCCACTTTTAAAATAGTTTTAATCTAAATAAGGTAACATTAAACGGTTAATTAACAAAACAAAGAAAACGCAAATTAATGACGCTTTTACATTATTATTGTGAATTCATTTTATTAGAAATATCATGTTTTCTTTGAATTTGAAGCAGTACTATACAATAAAAGGTATTTTACCCTGTAGCATACAATTACTGACGATAAAAGTAACCCAGAAAAATATTAATGTTTTGTGTACAGCGCCATCTCTTATGCAACCTCAACATGTAAGAGTAGATTGAAGTCGTGACTCGGTTACAAAAAGCGTAAGATAGATGGCGCTTATATTAAAAAATGATATAATCCTAAATATAGACTGTACTGAGAACACAAATTAAAGAAAATATTATTTGTATCCGCAATATTTTATTCACCACATCGGATCATACAACATTAATACATAATGCATAGAAGTCATCAAATATACAAACAAGAAACAATAGCGTAGCAAATAAAATCAATATTTTGTCCCGGACACGGTTTTATTTACAAACTAGATTCTCTCATGCCGCCATTATTGCACTAGGCCTAAATAAACTATACTCCATCAACACAATTAAGACTTTACTGTGAAGTGAACTCCTAACAAATAAACAATATAGAAAGATAATATTAAAAAATTACGTTCAATTTAAATCAACATGCATTACACAAAATATTTACAATCATTCTTATATCTATTTAAGTACTGTAATATATCGAAATGCCAAAAATTGCAAAAGTGGATCTTTACTACGACTAGACGTTTTTTTAAATTTAATTGGCACAAAATAGTTTCATCTACCAAATTTAAAAACCACAATTCTATTGTCAAACATTATTTTTCTGGATTTCTTGTAATAAGGCACTCAATTCTATAAAAAACATCGACCACGATATGCTTAAAAAATAACTTATTACATGCAATAATACTTTTTACTAATACATAATAAAACTTTGGTACTACAATACGTATATACATCATGCGTCACAAATTCCATTTTTGGTAAAAAAAAAGAGAAATAAATTAAATAATTTAACTAAAAATTTATAAATAAAATTATATATAAATACATATTACGAAAATCGATCAATTCAATCATTAAACTTATTAAAACAGCTACTTATTAATGTCAAATTAATAAAAAATCATATTGAGTTCCTAAACTTGCACTTAAGTGTAGTACCAACATAACATCTATAAAAAAAAAAACTAAATAATAAAATGTCACATCGTATAAAGATATTTACACACTAAGTTTCATATAATCGCGTATACCACACGCTTTAATAAATAAAAAAAAAGTTTAACGGATGTTTTTCACCCATTTAAGTCCTATATTAATAAAAAATGTTCATTAATTCATCTAAATATATAAGGTGGGAAAATATGTTGATATTTGTTACCTAAGTATATAGAAAATGCTAATCCCATTAATGAGTCTTGAATCAATACTGTTGTATTCGTTAAATTAATGGATAAATATTCATTATAAAAATTATTTTCTCTTCGCATTAAAGTTATATAAACTTCAACAATGTTTACAAATATCATTAATCAATATCTGTAATTATTGTCTTCTTTGACTTTACGAAAGAGAAATTAATATTCCAGTTTTTGGAATTCGTTTCCTTATATTTGTTAAAACACACTGTGATATATATAATACAACTATGTACAAAATTATATTCGAATAGTTTTATACAAACAAAATTTGAATTTAGAAAATTCCACACAATTTACTAAGGCACTGTCACTGTCCAAGTATTTATACACATTTATGTTCATATTTGTACAATTCTAATTTCAAGCAGTTTAATTTCAATCACGTTCCAAATTCGAAATTTATTAAATTTTTATTTACTTTCACTTTTGTGAATGGTTCGTCACATTCATCTTCGATATTTCTTATCGGCACTTGAACACTTCAAATTTCGAAATGTTTCTGTTTCGATCTAATTCCAAATTCAAGATATAAGAACAAATTTTAATTCTCGTCATCAAATTTAAATTTCGATTCATATTCGTGTGACGTAAATTTCAAAATTGTTCCATATAATCGTTCCAAATTCAAATTTATTTAATGAAAGGGAACTCGCTGTCACTCTCGTCTCCGGAGCCGTCGTAGCTGGACGGCGGCGTGTCTAGCTGAGGCAGACCGAGGTCCAAGTACTCCTGGTTTGCCGTCACTGTGAGTATTTTGTCCAAATCTTCAACTAATTCTGTGAACGAAGGCCGGTCGCCGGGCGAGAAGGACCAACATTCTCGCATTAGCATGTAACTGAAAAATAATTAAGAATATGTAATCCTTTATTCATGCTTGTTACATATCGTCGGGGCTAGTGCAAATCCGCGTAACTAAAAAAAAGCGTACCATTGGATAATTCCGCGTATCTACATTTGAAGCAGATTGACAGGAGAAAGTTGAAACTGGAATATTTTCTAAATTAACGACTTTTAAGGTAACTTTTTCACAATTAGTATTTAATTTATTGCTAATTGTGAAAAAACTACTTTTAAAGTCGTCAATTTGTAAAATATTTCAGCTTAAACTTTCTTAAATGCTAATTACGCGGATTTGCAATATCCCCGACGATATGACTACACCAAGGAGTTTTTGTAATGCCAAATAAATCAGACTGTATTTTTGTATATTTTATATTAAATATTGTGTGTTTACTAACATTTCAAGACTGCAACACGGCGGCTTCTCCATCCGATGTCCGGCGCTGAGGTGTTGATACATATATTGCCCCGGGACAGTCGGGTAGGGAGTGCCACCAAGTGTCATGATCTCCCACAGCAGTACACCGAACGACCACCTGGAGGTCAAGTTATATTGGTCAGATTTGTCACAGAATAAACGAAATAGTAAATTAGTACTGACAGTTTTTATTAATTAGAAAAAAAAGATACTTTGAAAAATAAGATATAAAGAGCAAGGTGGTATTAATTGAGGATAATAACACGTTACTGGATAACTTTAGGTACAATGTTTATTGTTTATTGTAAGTATATGGGGAATTAATTCTTAATTAGATTTCTTAATCACAAAACACACATAAACTCGTCAAATCATAAAACCCTCAATCACTAAACGCGTAGTAAAATCCTCATCTAAGAGTTTAACTATTGGCTTTTATAATCAATAATGTTTTCATCATTTACTATGATAAATATTATAAAAAAAAAAAAATCCTAGACACAATCAGGAGTCGAACTAAGCTATTAAATATTAGTAACTCTTATCTTTAGTCCATATATACACACTAGCTTTCCGTCCCCAGCTTCACCCGCGTGGAGTTCGGTTATATCGCGTTTCCAAGAGAACCTTTCAAAAGTATTTGATAAAAACTATCCTATGTGCTTTCTCAAGGTCAACTCTATATATACCAAGTTTCATTAAAATCATTTCAGTGGTTTAGGCGTTAAAGCGTAACAAACAGACAGATAGATAGACAGAGTTACTTTCGCATTTATGACATTAGTAGGGATGTACTCACACGTCAGTCTGTGTCGTGAATACTTTATGGTACAAGCTCTCCGGCGCCATCCATCTTACGGGCAGTCTGCCTTCGGTCTTCTTGCGGTAATAGTCATTTGACTGAACGTCTTTAGCGAGACCGAAATCTGCGATCTTTAGCACGCAGTCATCTGACACTAGGACATTACGTGCGGCGAGATCACGGTGTATACACTGAAAGAATTGGATTGATATTAGTAAAGGATTAATAAGATTAGGCGATGTTTGACCAAAAAATATGGAAATACGAAAAGAATTTTAAATATTGTAAGGAGTATAGGCAATGTTTGGCCAAAGAAATATATTACGGCAAATACTACACGAAATTTATAAATATTGTAAATATTTTTTTTGTTATTTCGTGGTCTGTGTTTGGTTGCTGATTGTTATGAATGACAAAAGTGATAGTGTTATAGTTTCTTCTTCTACCTGGCAATTTCAGCTATAACCAGGGTCTACCTTACATATTGTTAATAGATTTGGCTAATTGTTTTGACGACCGGCCGCCTGCCTGACATCAACCCTCTTTTGGGAATCAGCATTAATCAGTGATGTCTAAAAGCTTTTAGAAAGTACATATGACTCGGAAAAATCACATTGGTACTTGCCCGGGCCAGGATCGAACCCGCGCTCTCGTGCATGAGAGGCGAGCCCTTTAACCACTAGGCTACCACTGACTTTGTGATAGTGTTATAGTTTGTTCTTCAAGAAAATTAATGTAAATAACTTCATCATACTCACTCGTCTAGAAGCCAAATACTCCATGCCCCTCGCGACTTGATATGAGAACGATACAAGATCTTTTTGGGTTAGAGTTTTCTTTTCCTTTAGATCTTCGTTGGGTGATTCATACCTGCAAAAGATAAGTTTAAAACCAATGTTATCATAAAAAATATATCAAAGTAAAAAAAACGCAATCAGTTTCAGTGACAAAAAACGACTAATTTTATTCAAAAACACATCATGACACAATGGACCACAGTAATACATTTTGACATATATATCACTAGATGGCGTTACTTGTACCATTTCTATTTTTTGATACTTTCAACACAAAGAATAGACGAAATTTGTTTTTATGTCAAAGAACTGTTTTGTTTAGATGGAGTTATTGGTATTACCTGTTACCAGGTCGATGATTCCTTAGAAATTCTCTCAGGTTTCCATTGGGTGCGTACTCAACTATGACGTACAGCGGTCCATCTTGTGTACAGCATCCCAGTAGATTGATGATGTTCACGTGTTTACCGATCATCTTCATCATTTCCATCTCCGATACTAACGCCATCATCTCCGCGTCAGTATGGCCTTCTAAAATAACATATATTTGATGAGAAAAACTTCAAAACTTCGCAGAACAAATTTAGAATCAATAACTTTCTATTTTAACGTATATGTCTTGAAATGGCAGGTTTTGATAGAGCATTTTTCGATATGATTCCCTTAAATTAATATTATGCTTGTATTAGATTTGAAAACAGTGTAAGTTGGAATCAAAATTATTACTATCAATTCGTTTCAAAAATATCATTTTTCAATTGGGCCTCATTTAATAATGAGATCTATATGATCACGGGCAGACGAGTTGACAATTGCTAGAAAGTAACCGAAACGTTGGAATTATGTTGTTTTTATGTAATAAAATACGAAAAATGTTAGTTTCATCACTATATATAATATAAAATTTATTTAGTTTTAAGAAATCCTTATTATACGCTGTAAGTGAGTAGTACATTAGTATGTTGTTACTATACTTTTATTTTTAAAAATTATTTTTATTGGCTTATAATTATTTATTTTGTTTTTATTGCCTTTATTGTATTTATATGGCCTAAAACCTTATTAGTCTATGTTTGTTCTAGCTTAAGTTTTTAATATGACTTAAGAGTGTATTACTTTGTATTTAATTTAACAGTGCTGTAAATGGCTGTAGTGGTGTATCACACTGCTCTGATCCGTGTACTGTTATTTTGAATATGCCGATGGTGTTTCAATTAAATAAATAAATAGATATAAGTTACCTTTCAACATTTTAACAGCCACCACTGACTGTACACCCGGTTTCACGATCCCTTGACATTCTGCCTTCACAACCTTCCCAAATTCTCCTTCTCCCAAAACTTTTCCAATACAAAGAGCATCCCTCGACACTTCCCAGTCTATGTCAACTGGCAATTCATATTCTGACATCATCATTGAATCACACGGGCTTTGGACTTGTGATAGCTTCTGTTTTTCGATCTTTACCACTGGCATCAACTGATTTGATAAAAAAATGATTAGATACTTAAATATTCAACCAGTTATATCTAGAAGATTAGCTAATGCAAGAATCTAGATGATATTTATTTATTTACGGTTCACAAAACAGATTATAAATAGAGATACAATTAATTGATAAGTAAGCATTATAAATAAGCTGAGTTATAACCCAACAGCTATGTGAGCACAGATTATAGACTAAATATTTCACGCATAAAATCAAAAATACATCAGCACTTAAAAGTACATTGTATACATATAAGAAAAGACATCTAAAATAGATAGAAAAATATGAACAAGTTACAGCAATAAAAAATAAAATGAAATTAAAAACTGATGAAGTGAAGAACTGAATAATGGATAAGAAAATAGATTTAATCACTATTGGCTGTTAATTGAAACCAATTGTTTTTTTAAATAGATTTAGGTTATTTTTGAAAATGTCAATACTATCAATCGTATATTAAAATCCTTACCAATCCTTCAGCAGTATTTTCAGTTCCGTTCATCTGAGGTTTCTCAACAGTAACTTTCTTCGTCCAATGCGTTACTATAACAGCTCGAGCTGTTTCTATCGCAAGCTGTTTCTTGATCTTCTCACGTTTCAATTTCTTGAATATCATGACCACTATGATGGCAGCCACAAAGAACATCGCTCCAAGAACCGCTGTTAGTATGTTTATGAATAATGTGTGCTTGCCGTGATCCAACGCTTCTGTGATGGGGAGTGCTGAAAAAAACACAAGTTAATTAATTTCTTATATAGAACATTTAGGACGTAAATGGATTTAAATTAATATCATATAGTTGCTGTTGCTATTAGCAAAATCAATGAAATCTTTATATGCCTATAGCATATTGATTCTATAGTGAAATTAAACGAAAGTTTTATATTATTACTAGAACTGGAAGACCCGGCGAACTTCGTATCGCCCTATAATCAAGAAATATCTGTTACGTTTTTTTATTTATTTTTTGGAGTTTACCTATTACAGCCATAAATCGCCGTGTTTTGAAGTGCGACAGAATGATTGACATATTAGTTAGTTGTCAAATCTAATGTCAAAAAAAACGTTTGTATCAACAACTACTAATAAATTTCATTAAAATCTTCACTCACAGAAGAATTATATATATAAAAATAGTTCTTAAAATATATGTTGTAAACTTACAATCCAAAACAGTGAGGTATCCTTTAGCCGTCGTGTTGCCGAGTGTATTGAGAGCTACACACACGTACCAACCCTCATCTTCTTTGGTCACATTGTATATAGTTAATTGTTCGGGTTTGTCCTCTGGATTCTCACTCTAGAATATATTATAAAAAAATAAACTATAAATTCCATGACTTATATTGATTGAAATATATTTTTCAACGTACACAACAATCATGCATATTTGTATAAATCTTGCTCTAAAAAATCTTATTTTTATTTTTACTTAAAGTACCATGCTGTTTGGTTAGGGTTAGTAATAAATGATATATGATAAAGAAATTATTTAATACTAGCTTTCCGCCCGCAGCTTCGCCGCGTGGAGTTCGGTTATATCGCGTTTCCAAGAGAACCTTTCAAAAGTCTGGGATAAAAACTATCCTATGTTCTTTCTCAAGGTCAACTCTATCTCTGTACCGAATTTCATTAAAATCAGTTCAGTGGTTTAGGCGTGAAAGCGTAGCAGACAGACAGACAGACAGACAGACAGAGTTACTTTCGCATTTATAATATTAGTAGGGATTGTTATTTAAAGCGTTGTTAGTATTAAAAACATTTGCATTACAAAGCACATCGAGAAGCTATATATCCATGCGTTAGTCACACCCTCACCGTAACAATTTTCGTAATATCATCATACACAATGGACTCATTGCTAGAATCCGTTGTTGTTTCATTATATATATATTCGTGTTTTGTGAAATACATCCAATACACGAGCGGGTGTAGGTCACTCAGGTATTCGCAACTGAATTTCGCTGTCTCTCCAACTAACTTTGTTTGGTTGACTGCGGCCTGAGTTAACACCGGCTTGGCGTATAATCGCTCTACGAACAAATATTTGACTTATTAACTATTTTCAGCTCATCTACGTAAAGATTTATTCTCCATATATCCTGATTTAGATGCTAAAAGACGTAGGATCATGTTATACGATAAAGACATACATATAATGCATTTTGTCCAGATAAGAATAACATAAAATTTGCTTGAAAATAACTCCTGTGCATAGCTATTAAGATAAAATACCAACTTGAAGATTATGTTAAGGATAATTGTCTGCAACCAGTTATGAACGAGTCTTCTTATTACTAATATTCATGAACATACGATATGTTAAACCAGTAACCACCACCAAATATAGACCCTCCACCGATTAAACGACAGATAATGCCATATGTATATGAGAAGAGACCTTAGTCCATGATAATGGCTTTTCGATATACGATTTATTGAAAAACACAAACTATCCACAACTGTCACTTGGATAAGTTTGAGTTCTTCATAACACGTATTATTGAAGCTAGTTTAGGTTACTATGTTCTGTTTAATGTAAAACGATTTCCCATAACCAAAAACCGTCACCTAAATCAAATTTTAACCTCAATAACGTCGCCTATAGGTGCCGGGGCATCGCTAGGTCCGACCTCTGTGTCTTTCATAGAATAGTTCGTTGGTCTGATCCAATATAGATAAGGTTCTAAGTCTGACACAGGCGGACATGTCAATGTGACTGTTTCATTCACAAGCACTGTTATATTCCCAGGATGCCCTTCTTTTATATACGGCTTCGATGGATAGCGTTCTAAAGCAACCAATTGTATCAGTTTAGAATATTTTGCATTAAATTGCTTCTTTGTAGACTAAGATATTTTTCGTTGAAAAAAACTATAATGAACACTCGAGATTTGTGCTGATATAAATTCCAAGGTTAAATAATTTAGTGCAGCAATTTAAATTCTCGCTATCAAATATAGTTTCATCCTGTGCTATTTAGGAACCTACACAGTATTTATTTGAACAAACTCACCTTGTATGTGTAGTGTGTATTTGTGTTGAATGCACCCGAGTTCGTTACAAACTTTGCAAGTGTAATTTCCATTATCGGCTTTAGTCAGCTCATCTAACGCCATGGACCATTTGCCGTAACTCGGTTTGAAGTAGCTCCTAGCTATCGGAGTTCCACTATTTTTGTACCATGTTATGTTTGGCATTGGGTTACCTGTAATGTTTAACGTTCTGTTATTATTTCGGTAGTTTTATTGCTATCTTCTTTTGTTTAGTCTGGGTTTTTAAATATAGTTCATAGAATTGATTCTCGTATATACAAGGTCAGTGGTGTGTGAGTTTTGTTAGTGTGGTGAAGAGTATAGTAATTATATGTATTGAATTATGACCTTCGGCAGCGCATTTGAATCTTATTGAACTTCCAGCTGGTTTCATCTCCATGTTGAACATTTTGGACGGATGCTTGAACTTGGGCGCGTATTTTGATTTGGTGTCATCAACGTGGCCGTAGTTCAAATGTTCTCTTTCATTTCTATCGTCCAAATCATCGTCTTTGTTATCGTACTCTTTGTATTTATTCCTAGGATCCGTTGTATTATCTTCTATTGTATTATTATCAACCAAAGACGCTGAATGCTGCGCCAATATTTCAGGCATAGCTCGTAAAACGTCAACATCGGACTGGTATTCTGCAATTAAATCATGCATTATAATGGTCAGACGTCAAAAACAGTCCTTAAATACACATAAAATCATAATGATTTACGATCCCTGCAAAAGCTTAATTGCATTATCTTGTTAAATTGCATTTTTATTCGTATGTAATTTAAAAAGATGTTACTTTCAGATTTTATGTCTGATTTGACTGACTACTTGTATAATAAAACGCGTAAATAAAAATTGCTTGTGGAAAGTGTAGTTATGTTTATAAATACTTAAAAAGAAGTGAAAATCGTGATTCATCGCTGGAAACAGAATTAAAATGGAAATATGTCAACGGTTGGATGCAATAAGCTTAGCTCGCATCGGAATCCGAAGTATTAGCGGTGTTTACACATCTGGATAGCTATAAAGACGTCGATTAAATATAATATTAAAACAACTGAGGACAAAATGTTTAAGACAGTGGCTTATAAAGCGGATATTATAACTGTGGACTATCATATAATAATGAACATACCCTCAATATTTTCCGTTTCAAGCTCCGGTTTATGTTTTATGGTAACACTCATTTCCTTTCCTTTGTCCTCTTCATTCTGACATGTGTACACACCGGCGTCTTTGGCGCGAAATCCTTTTATTCTTAACCTGATAGAACAAATATTAAATCATTTTCATAGTTCATACTTTTTGGTACTAAAATAAGATATTTATATCTCGTTCTTAATCAAAGTCAATATAGTGATTGATTGATTACTTATTGTGATCCGAATGTCTTAAATAAGACCCGAGTTATTCCGCTGCGTTAAATCACATTTCAGTGTGGGATGTATGGATAAATATTGATATAAGTTGCGGCTTTACTGCTGCTGTTTTGGGATTCCTAGGTTTGATTTAAACTTTGATTTTGACGTTAAATATGAGTTGTGTCGTTTTGGATACAACTTCGGAGAATATACACCAAAAGAATTTGTATAATATTATTAGCGTAGTAATAAATATAAAATAATAATAACAGGAATATCTTATATTGAGGAATTTCGAATGCAATAGTCGATCGATAAATTTGTTCTAAGAATAGGATAAAAGTTTGAATACCAGTTAGAGTAATATGCTAAGCTAACTTCATGGTATAACCATAAACTGTATCATGATATAGATATTACGTCCTAGTGGGAAATTCCCACTGAAAAAACTGTATCTGTAAACTGTAAAGGATAATGGTCCTTATCACATTGATATAAAGCATAAATTTGAATAGTTTCTTACTAACCACTGTTTCTGCTGCATCACTCTCTGTCTCAACTGATAGTCCACTGGTTTTCCGTCAAAGAACCACCTCACTGCTGGCATTTGACTACGCGGCTTCAACCCGCAGATAAGACGTAATCTTTCATTAGTTGAAGCTTGTATTACAGTGTACGTATCATCTGAAACACAAATAAAATTTGATTTAAAGACATTTCTTTCTCATAAATAACACACAAGTTCACTTATAATAAGAAATTACAATAATTTTGCATGAGGGTACATTTAAAAGTTAATATATATATTACTATATTACAAGACTTTCGCGAGTTTTATTAATTAAATTGATACTAATATTTTTTCGGATATACTACGCGGTTTATTTTTGTGAAAAAACTACATACTCCCGACGTTTCGGCTACTTTACAGCAACCGTGATCACGGGCAGACGAGATGACTATATTAATTTATGTGACCAGCTATGATAATTTTGATATTATTTTATAGTTTTTCAGAAAAATATAAAATAATGATGCAATCTTACTATATATTCTAGGTATATATAAAATTGAAATATAGTGCATTTTGTTTTTCAATATTAAAGAAAAGTTATGAAAAAGTAATAAGGAGAATTCTTAAAAAAAACTTCAAATTGAGCGTATGACGGCACCATTTAAAAATTTAACGTTTCAGACTTACTCGTACACCTGAGAGAAACATATGCCGAGTTTAATATATTATTTTAACTAATTTTATAACGTTCTATTACATACAGAAGGTACAAAGAATAATTCAGTATATTTTGCATAACTTTATACGTACTGTAGAATAGGACAACTTTAGTAAGTATATATGTAAAAATTTAATACGAGACACTATTTTTAATGGCATTTATAGAATGAAATATGGATAGTTATGACCGAAATCTTATATACACATATGTATATTAAAATGAATTGCTGTTCCTTGGTCTCACTAAAACTCGAGAACGACTGAACGGATTTATCTTATCATAGTCTTGAAATGTTCGTGGAGGTTCAGGGAAGGTTTAAAAGCTGAATTTTTTTTTATTAATTTCCGGGAAAACCGTAAAAACAGCGCTTTTTTATTTCCCATACAAACGGTTTTTTGACATTAGATTTGACAACTAACTAATATGTCAATCATTCTGTCGCACTTCAGAACACGGAGATTTATGGCTTAAAGGTAAACACCAAAAAAATAAATAAGACATAATTTATTTCTTGATTGAGGCAGTACGAAGTCTGCCGGGTCAGCTAGTAATCATAAAAATATATACCTATGTATATACGTAATGCAAATGGAAAAAGAAACAAAAATCAGTTGTCAAACGTGATGCATGTGGAGTCAGTAAAGTTTATGTTTATCATAACTGGTGGTTGTAAAAACTTTGGTATTTTTGGCCATGGGTCTTATTAAATTTGTTGGTTTATGAGATTAGCGCAACTAATTACTGAGGGTTGTGTGTTAAGAAGTTGAACCTGTTTTATTATTGTTTTGTACGTTTTTTCATTGATAAATATTAACCAGTATAAAATGAGACGTGATAATAAATTAAGAGGATTAAGTCTCCTAATAGGGGATTAAATCTACTAATATTTATTTTAAAACGAACTTGATAATTGTTTTTACTTCGTTATAAATCATAATTATGTGAAAACATCAGATTTACAGTTTGATTGGATTTTAACTGCATAGGTATATCTTGTATTTGGATATAACATTAAAAAAATATTAGTTAAATACTATTAAGTACAAAAAGAGTAATAGTTTATTGTATATCTGATGGAATAAAAATATTACCCGTTTAAATTAAGTAAATCCAAAAGTGAATCTAATGGATTGTTAAGCCGGGATCAGACTAGTTACATTAAGTGCAATCTACACTCACAAAGTTGCATTTCTTTGTTTTGAATGTGGGCTCGGTTGAAACTTTAACAGCCATCGAGATTTGTGGCCCGTGAGTTATGACCGGGGCACAGTGATGTGCTTTGTTCAGTCCACATCGATGGATTTCAATGGCGTTACAAAATAAAACAGTTTCAAGGAAATTATGAAAGCACGAATCTGTTCCACGCTGTGATTCATTAATATTTAAAAATAAACAAAATGTACACGTAAATATGGACGAAAATAATCTTTTAACTTAAAAATATATATATTTTTTACTTTATATCGATAATTTTAATCTTAATCTGTTAAAGATGATCGTTTTTTGTCGATATAAAAAGATAATATTGATTCAGACGGTGTCACTTGTGTCGTCACTATTTCTTTTGCAAATTCAAAACTGTCGATAGCACATGTTGAACACATGCAGCCTTACCCGTGTACCCAAAAAACCTTTCTCAAGACCAATCGGCGTTTTATTCAAAAACAATAAGGTCCGTGGGAACGAATGCAACGAATTTTAGTATAATTTGCAAATCAACAGGATATACAAGAGGATGTCACAACTGAAATTGAATAAATACATGAATGAATGAATGAATGAACGAATGAAATTTATTCAAAAATGTATTTTTTTAACTTCTGTGAATTTTGTTTCACAAATAATGCAAATGCGATCTTTGAATTGAAATATTCACTCAAATTTATTTACGTATTAATTATAATGAATATTTAATATATTTTGAATACATATTTAATATTAATCGGATTATAATCAAAGATCAATATAATCTCTCATTGTGGTTTAAAAAGCCCATTGTTTTCAAGGATCGCCATTAAAGGGAACGGCTACAATGTCAGTGTCATTAGTACAAATACTTACAAATTATTAAAGGACAATGGACCACACGGGATAACGTAAATTTAGCTTTGAGAATGAATTTAAATAATAAATGATCGACAATCAAATAATGACGATTTGTAAAGCATTTTATTATTTATCAGAAACACGCATTCCACGAACATTTTATATGCAATTCTGTAATATAAAAAACTTAAAAGCATTCCTTTTCAATATTTATATTACTCTACGGACAGACGCGAAGGAGATGTATTGCTGAAACTACAAAGGTTAAAAAAACATTTTAGTTAAAACAGTAAATCAAAATATCGTAGTATTTTAAATGTGAAATTAACATTATGTATGAAACGCGAAATCTTTTGTAATACCATGTTGTATGGTTTTTTGATTGCTTGGATTCGATCCAAAGAGATTTTTACGCGGGGGCGTATGAAATTGTTCACATTTTACCTATACATGTTTATTGTAATATAAACTCTATTTATAAAGTTATAAAGATACTTTCACGATAAAAATATTAAAAAGAATAATTTACGTATTGACTTTAAAAGAAATATGATTTAAATATTAAATATGGCTACTTAAAGATACATTAGAGATATGGTTAATGCCATCAAAAAGGAATAAATTCCAATCTTGAGGCAATTTCAGTACAGTGAAGGATAATATTAAATCATTCGTTCATTGTTAATCATCGTTCATTCATTTTTCATTCCTCATTATAAAGCTTGCTAAAATTTATTCTTGTATTGAACGTATTATATCCTAACCTATATATTTCTCTTCTTTTTTATTCATAAGAATATTTCAAATATAGTTTATTGAACCTTCACTTTGACAAATCAAAGAAAGGAACTGTCGTTTTACACGATAGCGTTGACAGGTTTATTAGTTAAGAAATATGATTCGCCCTTTAATTATATTCTGTAAATGCATTATGACTTTTAAAAATAGAATCATTCTGTTTCACTGTGTCCAGAAATCATTTCGTTTATTTAAAATATTCAAATTTTACGTTTACAATTACATATAAATTATAATATTCGTGTGTACGTACCTTATTGAATATTTTCATATAAGTTTTATCATCGTGACACTTTCTTTACTTCTCCGTTCGTAAATCATTTGCTAAGTATGTTTATACTTTCCGGTTTTTAAGTAATTAAACTCCGACAGACAGATCCTGTTACATCGGAAGACAACTGACCTTTGTTAATGTCAATAGCAGTAGATCGGGATAGCAGCAATTAAAACTAAGGGTATTTGTACTTGAAGAACATAGTTTCAAATAAATATAACAAACATATTAAGTCTCTTGCTAATACTAAGTAGGTATTTTGAGTTTTGACGTTACACCATCTGGTTACGTCAAATGTCAAACATAGTTTATGCTTCAAACATAGATTATACTTAATAGTCAAAACGATACGTCAAAACACCGCTTAAGCAAATAAAAAAACGTAACGAATTTAAAAAGGTGTTCAAAAAACTGCAAAAGACACTCAGGGCGTCAAGTATCGGTGTCGCTTCTAAAAACGATACCTTTTTCGACAACAATACTATTAAAAGCTATGATTTATATATCTAATGTAAATTCGACTCTATTACTTAACAAATAAGGGTGTGATAGATATGTGCGTGTTATAAATAAGTTGGTTTACGCCGAGGGTGTCGCATGACCAGCGTTACATTTGTTTTGGCGTATGACACTTGGAAATGGCGTCGTTTCCTCTCAAACCGATGGTGTAATTTTCTGTCATAACTAATATTAAACGTGTAATTTGGAAAAGCATAAATAATTTTAATGCGTCTTATATTTTATACAACGCGTGAAATTTGTCAAAATGGCTGATACAACAAATGCTGTATACAAGTTTTGAACTTTGAGTGTCCTACTTGACATTCAAATTGATTTATATAGTTCAAATATTGACAGTACAATTAAGTGTTGCAAAAACATTATATAGAAATATCAAGCGAATATTAAATATAATTTATACATTTGACAACAACAGTTGCCACTTCAAAGCCGATTTTCGGTTAGGAAGCAATAATGCAAGATGAAAGGAATTTTTTTTATTTTTAATCACCTCAATCAGAGTAGTGGCCGGAATATAAAATAGAATTATTAAAAAGGCGACAAGAACACATCCGTTTCCTGTTCAGAATTCGGCTCCACTTACTGCACCATTCTTGTTGACGCCGAAACAAAATACCGATGATTGCGATTTAATTAAACTTTTGAATAAAGCGACGCCATTTTAGGTAGGTTGGTTGGCTTATCAGAAACCATATTCTGAGTGGGATTATTATTAGGTTAAATAAATATGTTTATTAGATAAATTTATTTCGATTTCCATAATAAACAATATCTATGATATAATAAATTAAGTCGAACCTATTTTCTTG